GGGCCCCCCAGCAGGCCTCGAAAATGGCGACAGTTTCGCAGATCGCAGCCCCCCAGGGATGGCGAGGTCTAATTTGAATCCGCGCGTGGCCCTCACTGTGCTGGGCCCCCCAGCAGGCCTCGAAAATGGCGACAGTTTCGCAGATCGCAGCCCCCCAGGGATGGCGAGGTCTAATTTGAATCTGCCGCGATTACCCTCTATGCTGGGCCCCCCAGCAGGCCTCGAAAGTGGCGACAGTTTCACAGATCGCAGCCCCCCAGGGAGGGCGAGGTCTAATTTGGATCTGCCGCGATTACCCTCTATGCTGGACCCCCCAGCAGGCCTCGAAAGTGGCGACAGTTTCACAGATCGCAGCCCCCCAGGGAGGGCGAGGTCTAATTTGGATCTGCCGCGATTACCCTCTATGCTGGACCCCCCAGCAGGCCTCGAAAGTGGCGACAGTTTCACAGATCGCAGCCCCCCCCCCCAGGGATGGCGAGGTCTAATTTGAATCTGCCGCGATTACCCTCTATGCTGAGCCCCCCAGCAGGCCTCGAAAGTGGCGACAGTTTCACAGATCGCAGCCCCCCAGGAATGGCGAGGTCTAATTTGGATCTGCCGCGATTACCCTCTATGCTGGACCCCCCAGCAGGCCTCGAAACTGGCGACAGTTTCACAGCCCCCCGCAGGCAAGACAGAAAGAGGCAGGAAAGAGGCGGGAGGCGGGAGGAGGAAGGACGCGACCACACTGCTCTATTCAAAACGAATACCCAATCAAGGAGGGTTGGGAATAAAAATACGTGTCGCACGAATTACCCTGGCGACGTACCCAACCCCTGCGCAAAAGCGGGGCGCAAATAGTTTAGGATACTTTATAAGGGGGCGATGACGGAGCGAGGGTTACATATGTCTGCAGACGGAATTCGGGAGACTCGCAGGACACTGGCTACAGGAAAAGGGCTTGATAAAGCTGATGATTTACAATTCCTGAGCACTCCTAGCCACTTCGAAAACGGGGATCACAGCAGGCCTCGAAAGTGGCGACAGGTTCACAGATCGCAGCCCCGCAGGGACGGCGAGGTCTCATTTGAATCTGCCCGTGGCCCTCACTGTGCTGGGCCCCCCAGCAGGCCTCGAAAATGGCGGCAGTTTCGCAGATCGCAGCCCCCCAGGGATGGCGAGGTCTAATTTGAATCCGCGCGTGGCCCTCACTGTGCTGGGCCCCCCAGCAGGCCTCGAAAGTGGCGACAGTTTCACAGATCGCAGCCCCCCAGGGAGGGCGAGGTCTAATTTGGATCTGCCGCGATTACCCTCTATGCTGGACCCCCCAGCAGGCCTCGAAAGTGGCGACAGTTTCACAGATCGCAGCCCCCCCCCCCAGGGATGGCGAGGTCTAATTTGAATCTGCCGCGATTACCCTCTATGCTGAGCCCCCCAGCAGGCCTCGAAAGTGGCGACAGTTTCACAGATCGCAGCCCCCCAGGAATGGCGAGGTCTAATTTGGATCTGCCGCGATTACCCTCTATGCTGGACCCCCCAGCAGGCCTCGAAACTGGCGACAGTTTCACAGCCCCCCGCAGGCAAGACAGAAAGAGGCAGGAAAGAGGCGGGAGGCGGGAGGAGGAAGGACGCGACCACACTGCTCTATTCAAAACGAATACCCAACCAAGGAGGGTTGGGAAAAAAACATCTGGGGGGCTTGGCTGTTCGAGTCGTCGTCTCCGTCAGTCGTCGTCTCCGTCGTCCCCTTTCCCTGCACTCCTTCTTTTCAAGGTAGTCAGCGAGAGAAAAATCGAGCAATGTCGTAATCCGAAGGGAAAACCTTTCCCTTTGATCCCTTCCCCTGGCCGGGGGGGGGTCCTGGGGGGGTAGGGGGGGGTCCCGGGGGTTGTCGCCACCCAAATACGTTCTCCCCCCTGGGGGCCCTGGGGCCTCAGAAAATACCAAGACAGGCCAAGAGTACCCCAAGAGGCCGCCGAGACGGTCCAAGAGGGTCCCCAATCGCCAAACGATCGGTCCAAAACGCCTTCACGCCCTCCAGACTGCCCAGGAGGCCTCCAGGACGCCTCAAGACGCTTCCAAGAGCACTCCCGAGAGACCCCAAGAGGCCAAATTAATTGATGCTTGATTTTCAAAAGCTTAAAAAAAGATTTGGGCGTTCTCGCCTTTTCCACTTTCCGCCTCTCCAGAACGGTGCCCGAGGCCCCCAAGATCTCTCCAAGACGGCCCAAGAGGCCTCCAAGAGGGCCCCCAAACAGCCCAAGAGGACTCCAAGACAACCCAAAAAGCCTCCAAGAAGGCCCCAGAGCCCCACCAGGCCCACAAGAGGTCCCCAGGAAGCCCGAAGAGGCCCCCAAGAGGCTCCCAAGAGGTCCCCAAGAGGTTCCCAAGAGGCCCCACAATTCCTCCCCAGATGCCCCCGAGAGACTTCCGAAGAAACCCCAAGAACAATCCCTGAGGACTCAAGCCCACGTCAGCATCATCGTCGTTGCCGCCGCCGCCGCCGCCGTTATCGTCGTCGTCGTCGTCGTCGTCGTCGTCGTCGTCGTCGTCGCCACCGTCGTCGTCGTCTCCCTTCAGGGTCGGCGGCACCGGCCGTAAGGCCTTCGCAATAAAATTACGTGGGGCACGAAAAAGCACCTGGATGACCATCACACAATCTCTGGACATTGCTCCGATGCCCCACCCCGCCCCGGGTATCCTTTCGGACTGCTCCCGGGCCTCCCTGGCTAGCCGCCCGCGCTCCTCTTGACGCCGCGGACGGCCCCAGAAGGCTTGCAACGACCCCCAGAATGGACACGGGCGCCTGGGGACGACTCGCAAATCACGACCTAACACGCTCCCGAGAGGGCCCCAGGAGATCCCCAAGAGGGCCGCGATAGGCAACATTCATGAATTGTCCTGGATTTCCTTGCAAATTTCAGCGATTCCGGCGTTCGCGCCTTGTCGGGCTTCTGACAGCCCAAGACGCTCCCAGGAACTTTCGAGATTACCCCAAGAAGGCCGAAGGGGCCTCCAAGATCGCCCGAACACGGCCCAAGAGGGCCCCAAGACGGCCCAAGAGGGCCTTAAGAAGGTGACCGAGATGGCTTCAAGAAGGCCCAGGAGGCTTCCAAGGCGGCCCCAGAGGACCCCAAGCTGGCCCAAAAGGGCCCCAAGATGGCCCAAGAGGCCCTCAAGATGTCCCAGAGGCTTCCAAGAGGCCCCCAAGATGGCCTATAAAGACTCCAGGAGAACCCCCAAAAGGCTTCAAATATGCCTCGAAGAGCTTCTGATAAGCCCCCCAGGGCCCCAACACGGCCCAGTGATGGACACAGCTCTGACGTGCATCAAAAACATGTCACGCCAATGGTCCCAAGAGTGGGCGGCGTCGTGTGCTCTCCCTGGCAAGTGCCTGAAGCGACATCGTGGATCGTGGTTCATGCGATATGTTATTGATTTCTGAACAGGGCTCCCAACTTCGCGCTTCGCGCTCCGCGAAGCGCGAATAACTTCGCGCTCTCGCGCCGCCCCCCCAGAGGGAGAAGAGGAGGACGAGGAGGAGGGGGAGAAGGAACGAGGACCGCGAAGCGCGAAGCGCGAAAAACTTCGCGCCCTCGAGGGAGCCCTTGATTTCTGAACATTCTCTCGGCTCGCGATGCCTTCCAGCAACTGCGCCTCGCCGAGGGCGTGCCTCGGGTGCCCGGATCCTCCCGATCGGGCGCCTGAGGATTGACGGATGGGCCGACAGCCACTCCGAGGAGGGATGGTGTGCTCCACCTGCCGCTGCCCTCCCGACATCTCACTAGCAGCCGCGTCTCACGAGAGGGCCAGCAATTTCTCGAGCAACCTCTGAGAAATGAACCCGACGTGACGTTCACCACGGTGTACACCCGGAATCCCTAACCCTCTTGAGCAAGACCCCACTCACGGCTACCACCCTCGCTCCCTCATGACATAATCATCACTGTGACCGCTCCTTCCGGTATTACCGTCAGCCCCGTCATGGTCATGATTTGAACCGTTGCCGCGGCCATGCCCTCAACCTCCACGATGCTCATAACTGCAACTCTTCTCGAGGCCATACCATCGTGTGGTCATGATCTTTCCCCGCTCCAATTGCTTTCACATGCTCTCCGGGAGATGAAGAGATATGGTCATCCTGGTCCGTTTGCATCAAAACCCGTCCCAAGCTTTCCGTATTCGGACCCGACGTTTGCCCAGCCTGATCTGGGAGGCGCTGAGTTCCTCTTTCTTGCTCCCCGAGCCCTGCTCTTAACAGCGTCCCACCTCTCTATCTTGTCACAGGTGCCCGAAGGTGCACGGACGCAGGACCAAGAGTTGAGGCGAACGGATGCGCGCCGTCAAATCTTGTGTCCATATCTATACATAATCCCGCCGGAAAGCCCGCCGGAAGACGTCAGGAACTCGGGGTGCAGCGGCGATGTTGGCTTCCCAGCTCGAGCGCGCGCTTCGCACGCTGCGTAAACTCTGCATGGTCGGACGGACTCTTTTCATGTGGTCAACAGCGTCCTGCAAATTCTGATGATCAGAGCATGTGCGTGGCAATCTCTTCCTGTGGGAATACACACCATGATTGTGGGACGCCGTGCAGCCAGTGCCTGTTTTGGCGAACACTCTTGGCATGAAGGCGACATCCCGGTCACCACAGGGAGGGACTCACATATCGTCAGTTCTGATATATCCAAATCCAAACAACATTTGTGGTCTCTGTTTTTCTGATCCCGTAAGCTTCCGCTAACCTTCTGTCAATCTTCCGCCGACGGGACGGCTTACGCCAGATGAACCGCACACCTCGAACAAAAATGGCTTCTGCTCCGCAGCTCTCCTCCACCATGTAACCTCCTCCAGCGCCGTCTCCTCCGCCTCTGTCCCCCATTCCCCTGCTTCCTTCACCCTCCCCCCCCCCTCTCTCGCTCCACCTCGTCCTCCTCCCTCGCTCCGTCCTCCTCCCTCTCTCCTCCCCTTCCCCCGTCCTCTCTCTCTCCCTCCCTGCCCCCCTCCCTCCTGGGGGGGGAGGCCTTCCGCGCCTCCGCCGCCCGCGAGGCCACCTCCTGCCCCAGCTCCTGGGGGTGGGGCGCGTGGGGCGGCGGCGGTCCACTTCTCGGAAGGGGCGAGGGCGAGGGAGGCCACAGACCCACTCGCGCCCTCAACAGAACTACACCCCGCGAAATGCTTAAGAAATCATGGGTTAAGAAATTCATAGTCTCAGAACGTGAATAAAAGCCCAACGTGTCTATCAAAATCTTGAGGTTGACATTGAAACGTTAAGAATAATCGAGACTCTGGCCGAAAACTTGTTTTTCTTAAGCATCGCCTAAGGTGTACGACGGGAAATGCTCGCAGATCTCTTGGCGTCCGGGGGGCCCTCGCCGGGCCGGGACCGTCGACACAAACCACGGCGGCGGGGGTCTCATTCGGACGGCAAGACTCGAAGGGTAAAGGGCCTCCCACGAAGCTCGGCACAAGCACAACCTTGCGTCTGCGGTGGGTATAGGCAGAAGGAGGCGGCGGAAACGAAGGATAAAACATCACACACTTGTGTCTTTGTCTCTGTGGAGCTTCCCGATGCCCTCGGGGCTGGCAGGCTCACCGCTGGAGGGATGAGCGAATAGGTTCCTCCTCTCGCTCTCTCCTGTCCCGGAACCCCCGCCTCTCCCGCGCATTGTTTTGCCACGTGCGAGGTTTCAACTGCTGAAATGTTAGGTGTGTACCTCTTCGATCGGGACGCCTTCGCCCATTCACTCAAGAATGTCCCGCTGCAGCGTGAGCCACATTTCAGGATCGGCGTTTGGTCGATGCGCTCTCGCCTCAGCGCGGGCCACAACTCTTGACCCGATTACTTTTTTTTCGTTTCTGGTCCCTTCCTTTCCCCTCCTCCGCAGTCTCCGGATGCATCTGCTCCTCCTACTCCTGCTCGTCGTACTCACCTTTGGTTGATGAGCGCGAGACCAGGGATGCCCGCCACATGGGGGTTGTACACAGCTCGGCCTCTGGAGCCCTGTTTTCGGGAGCGGGGCCATCAAAAAAAGATCCGGGGTGAAACATCGGCCCCCAGGAACGCCGAAGAAAGACCCACAAATGGAAAAGAACAATCCGCCGGAAGTCTGAGGAGGCGGAGGAGGAACGCAAAAAATGACGAGGGGGCAGATGACGAGGAGGCTGCGGGTGTGGAATCGGTCCTCCAAGCGCATGGCATGGCCCTGCGAGGCGGCCTGCTGATCTTGCAGCAGGGCGCGGACCTCGCACAAGGGCTGCGCGAGAGGAATCTTCAAGGCAGAGGGGGCGGCTGGGGGAAGCAATGGCAAAGAGCGTGGAAAGGCATTGGCCTGGTCTCGACTACCGCGAACTCTTCAACCGCCCTCGGACTTCGAGCGTACAGGCTATCCCCTTTGGTCCCTAAGGGAAAGAATGTCCCAGTGATCGACCCTCGGGACATGATTCCAACCTGATGCCTCCCAAGACCGCGGGGCAATACCGACGATTTGACATCAAAGTCGTGCTAAAAACGGTTTGAGAATAATCAACACAAGGATCTGTCCCCCAACCGTCGCAAAATCTTTCCTGACATGAACGGGAAGCGCGTAAACTTCGATGGGTTGCGCAAGAGCGTACATCATCACGATCATACGTAGTGTACGCGAGCTCTACGAACGCTCACAACGGATACCCGTGGACACGCGCTCCCCGAACGACCACAAACATGTTTCTGCGTGTCATATAACTCCTCTGTGTACCTCCATGTTCTTCCGTCTCCCCCTCACTTTCATTATCACCGTTACCATCATCATCGTCACTATCGCCAACACCCCATCATATCACCGTCACCACCAGCATCAGAACCAACATCACAAACACATTAATCGTCATCACCATCACCATTATGATCTCAGTCATCATGGCCGGCCAGCACCATCACCAACCGCGCATTATCATAAACATCGGCTTCACAAAATGAGCGACACTGGCATCATCATCACCACCAGCACCAACATCATCATCATCATCAGCATCATCATCATCAGCATCAGCATCATCATCATCATCATCATCATCAAGATCGTGTCATAATAAGCATCATCATCGTCACCACCACGACCATCATCATCATCGTCATCATCATCATCATCATCATCATCGGCATCGTCATCGAAAAAATCGTCATCATCATCATCATCATGATCATCATCATCATCATCATGATCGGCACCACTGGCATTCCCATCTTGAGCTGATGATTTCGAAAACCCGCCAGGAGGCGTATTTAAAGGGGGTGTCTCGGTGCGAAACGATTGTTACTAAACAAAGGTGCGGAACACCATGTGTGTGTTTCAAGCCGTTCACCTCTTCGGCGACCTTGGAGGTTACCCAAGAGCGTTCCGAAAACATGTGTCAAGGCAGCTCTTGGCGCATCCTATTCTGCCGAGGATGTCTCAGGCCAAACTGTTATTTTGAAATTCTGAAGATTAGGCTCGCGAGTTCAACATCACCATTGTTCGAAGATGTCCCAGACAAGGCGCTTATTTTTAGCACAATGCGCCTTGAGATAGAGCCTCCAAGATCGCGATTTGGCGAGGATGTCTCAGGCAAAACGCCATGTCTCCGCGGAGGGGCAACCCTGCCACTACTCCCTCCCTGGACCCCCCCACTTGATAGTGCTTTTCCCTCCAAGTCCGTGAACAACGTCCATCGCGCGACTCTTCTAATATAAGCGCGCTTCCCGTCATCCGCCGCGTCCCCACGGAAGAGCCGCCCCGCCACCACTCCCCCTCTGGACCCCCGCACTTGATAATGTTTCCCCCTCTGGACCAGTAGCCAGCGCCCATCGCGCGACTCTTCGAATCGAAGCGCGCTTCCCGTCATCCGCCAACTCTGTCGGCGCGCGTGAAGGGGAGTCCTGGGGTTGTCGTCCAGGCGCGGTCGCTAAGGGGTGGTCCTGGGAAACGCGTTCCATTCGAAGCTTTCCCGTTTCCCTGTGGCCACTGGGGCCCTCCAAGCTCGTCAGCCCAAGGTGAATCGACCCAGGTCGCAATCGAACAGCGGAAATGGAAGCCGCTTCCCTTTGATTTCTTTCCCGGGGGGTAGGTGAGGGGTTCCAGGACGTTGCGCCTCTCAGCCTCAGCCCCCCCCCCTTGAATGACTCGGGCGATCTGGGCGCCATTTTGCTAATTGTTGGCCCCCCCGAGCCAGCTAGAGCCCTCGCGGGACAGACACTGGCACTCCTGGGATTCTCGCGGGCCGTTTTGGAGGTCCCAGGGGCCGACCCTGAGGCCCGAATCTGGTGAGATCCTGAAGTCTCTGTGTGGTCTTAGCATTCTCGCCGCATTGGGTGCAAGAGTGTCCAAGGCGACCCAAACAAAACCTAAGACCAGCCCAAGCCGACCCCACCAAGAGGGGGCCTGAAAGTACGCCACTGTGGTCCCGAAGTCCTCTAGAACACGACCCAGGAGCAATGCCTAAATGGGCGAGAACCATCCGACGCCTGCTGTCGCTTGAAAGCCGCCGTTGTTCTGTGCCCCCGTCTCCCATTCCTCCTCGTTCCCCCCATTTTTGACTTCTCAAAGTCGGCGGAACCGGCGTTGTTCTGTAGAACGGCCATCGTATGGGAACGGTCTTGTCGCTACATGTTGCCCAGGACGTTTGAAACATTGTCCATCGTGATTCCTCGCGCTGCGTTTTGCTGGGGGTGTTCGAAGAACGGGCCACCACGTTCAGCGTCATAATCCACAAAACGCCAACGTTGGTACCTCCACGCCGCCCCCCGCCATTAGCTCCGTGATTCGGATGCCTCGTCTTGCCCGCGGTGGTCACGTTCCCCCCGCCCCCCCCCACCGAAATACAAAGCCGAGTGCAGGCCCTGCGTCGCCGCTCGACGCGTCCAGCTTTGAACATTGGGGGGGTGGGGGGGGCAGAGGAGAGGGTGGGGAGGGGGAGAGGAGGGAGGAGGAGACGACGGCGGGAAGGAGGGAAGGGACGGATAGGGCGAGGACGGGGAATAGAGAAATAGCACCAATGGCAATGCTGTGGGATGATGATGAGGAGGTGGCGAGGAAGAGGGGAAGGAGGACGAGGAGGAGGATCAGCATTAGGAGGATGAGAAGGATGAGGAGGATGATGACCAGTAGGAGGGGAAAAAGAGGAGTAAGAGGAGGAGGAAGCGAGTGAGGATGCTGGTGATATCTCGGGGGCGCGCGGGAAGGGAAGCATGAGGACGGGGAGGACGATGATAATCAGGAGGGGGAGGAGGAGGAAGAGGAGAATGAATGGGGGTGTTGGCTAGGACGCGGATGATTGCGAATCTTACTATGATGACGGGGCATCCATGTTTGGATGCCCCTGGATGGTGATGCTGCTGATGAACATGATGGCGGCCATCACCATGACGATGGCCATTATGATGATGGTGATGTGGATGAGGATGAGGATGGTGATGTTGATGATCATATTGATGATGGTGGTGATGGTGGTGGTGATGGTCATGATGATGTCGCGGATGCTGAGAATGCTGATTAGTTTGCAGATTGTGATCGTGATGGTGATCGCGATAATGATCACAAAGATGACGATCAGGAGCTTGTGCGAGGATGCGCGTGCTCATGATGGTGGGGGGGGGGTAGCTTCGAATCTGGAAACTTTGATTGGCAGCTTTCTCCCCAGTGCGTTGCCCCAGCGGCGTGGTTAATCATCCCTGTCATGGGCATCGTCGCCACCATTCTGCCACGAAATCTGCGTGTAGGGCGGCCCCCAGGCAATGCTGCACCCAGACTGTGTCGAATGCCAACAGCATCAGAGGATGCACACATCATCGAAGAAAATAAACATCGGAATGCGCCCCGTCACACATCCGATTGCAAACAACATCAGAGGATGCGTGTGTTGACCGGCTGGTTGAGTGCTTCTGCGGTCCGCTGTCGTAAAACATCTCGAATCCAAGCAACATCAGAATTTGTACGTGTTCACTGGCGGGTTGAGTGTTTCAGCGGCCCGTTGCCGCAAGACATCTAGAATGCAAGCAACATCAGAAGATGTATGTGTTAACCAGCCGGTAGAGTACACATGAATACTCCAGCGGCCCGCTGTCGCAAAACGTCTGTCAGGCAATGGACTCGACCATCTCATGAATTATTATGATGGCCGTTATTTTCAAGGCCTGTGCGTAGGCCTTTGCAAATGAGAAAACTTGGTCATCGTTGACCGTTGTCGGCCACGTCTGCTGCCGTCTACTCTCGTGGCGCAAGCGCTGCGTCAAAACCAAGGACAATCAACAAGAAGCGGCGTGATTTTGTCATCTGGATCGTTACGATATCACAGGCCGAACACAATAATACAATGCAGGACCGTGCATTCCTGATGACCCAAGTTAGGGCAGCCCCTCATCCAGCACGCCGGATCCAACGGCAAAAGCCAGAGGAACACAGAGCCTCCCCGATACCAGCAGAGCGATGCACACATCTGTCTTCTGGCATTCTGGCTGCAGCGTGACCGAAACCCACGCGAAAGATGCCGACGCACAGCGCCTGGACACGGACCATGTGCCGTACAGGCGATCGATCGGACACTCACGTCCACCCGAAAGGTCCAGACGAGCGGAGACCTCTACCAGTCATGCAGCCGACATCTACGGCAAAGAGCACGAGGAGGATGAATCATCAACGGGTTAGCCGCACTCGCCTCTTCCGACCTCCTGCACCACGACCAGGGCCCGGATCTTCGCAGGAGAGAGAAAGGGAAGGCGCGAGACGAGCTCCCGTAGGTGCACAGAAAAGTGGACCCTGGGCAGTCGGGAGCACAGCCTCGAAAGGAATGCAAAACGTGCAGTTTGGAGTCTGGGTCTGGGGGACAGGGGGGGCGAACACGGGGTCGAAGACGAAGGGGCTCCACATGTTTTGTCCCCTTACTTCCCCCCAAAAAATACATGTACCTTGCGCCGCGGTGATGGCTCTTGACATCGGCAGCCAAGGACCCCCCCTTCGGGAGCGCCGTGTGACCTGCCCGCCCAGTGCATCGACCGTCGCTCCTGCGAGCCGCGGCTGCTGTGAGACAGCTCAGGGCAGGAGGAGGGCGGCGAAGGCAAAGAACTTGCAGACGCAAGGAGGCCGGCAGGCTACAGTCGGACCTAGGCTAGAAGAACATCCCTCCGTCGGTCAAAACAAAGAGAGCAGTCGAGGCTGCCCTGCACCGGGTGCGCAAGAACATCCAACAAACACGAAGAACACTAGGATACCCTCCCCGAACCGACCTTGATCTTATACCTCGGTCCGACTGTACCAGCTCGGCGTGCCGCCGCGATGATGGAGGAGGAGAACACTACGAAGGAAAGATGCATCCGTGAGAAAGGGGTGGGCACGGCCCCGGCGGGCGTGTGCCGCCTCAGGACGCTGACGCTGCACGCGCGCTGGCACTGTTCATGGGCCCGCGTGGTCGGTGAGTGCGCCGCTGCCTCTGAGACGCCCGCCCGACGGCGGGCGTGGCCCTCTCGGAGGTGCGGCGGCGCCCGCATCCGAGGTCTGGACAGGAGGAGAGCAAGCAGAAGTGTGGCGACCACAACACACACACAAACAAACAAACAAACAAACAAACAAACAAACAAACAAACAAACAACAACACACACACATGCGGCAAAGACCCTGAGCAATTTTACACAGTTGCATTAAAAATGGCCACGGTGGGCTCCGGGTTCCCCCGCCCCGGTCGTTGGAAACCACTTGTTTACATCTACACAACCATCCATCCGTCCATTCATTCAGTCCATCCATGTATACATGCATGCATGTATGCATGCATGCTTACATGTATACACCGATAATATATAAACCCCAATGTGCGACCACTAGTTGTACATGTGATGTATGTGTGTGTGCGTATACATGTGTATGTGCATATATGTGAACATGCACGTGCATATGTATATGTGTATGTGTATACATATGTATATATATACATATATATACACATGTGTATGTGCTCACATGCAGATCTCTCTTTGTACATACACGCAGATGGGACTCTACTCTCACAGAGAAGCCGTTCAACCAAAGACAAGAGGCGGTGCGCCCCCCCCCTTCCGGCGGCGCCTCCCCGAGCTGCAGCGACCGTTCCCCGCGCTCGGCCTCCAGGGCCTCCCGAAACCTGCGGGGTGGGGGGGGGGGGCAGGCGACTCAGGAGAACGAGGGGTTGGGGGGGGAGGGCGGGGGGTGGGGGTGAGGAGGGGCAGGGGGTGAGGAGAGGGAGGGGAAGACGGGGGGGGGTGGGCGGGGGCGCGAGGAGGGTGGAAGGAGGGGGCGAGGAGGGAGGAATTAACCCTCCCTCCAAGCTCTTTCTTCATGGGCCCCTACAGCGGCTCATTTCCATTGGGGGAACTGCCTCGCTGGAAGACAACAGTTTGAATATCCTGTAGCGTGCCAACGCATTGTTCTCGGGATTCCAACGCACCGTATCAACCTGACTGCTGCGTATTGACGATCCAAAACCGTGCCAGAACGCCATTTGTGGTACTGCAACGCAGCGAATCAACATAACTGTTGCGCCCGCATAATCCTGAATCTTTCCAAAACACCATTCCTGGTACGTTGATCATGGGAATCCGTGAGTCTCTAGCAAATGTTTAAAACGAGTGTGCGCGGTGCTAATGCGAGAGCCACATTTTGAAAACCACCTGCTCTCAATCCGTGAAGCTCTTGCAATTGTTTAAACCGAATGCGCGCGGCTCTAAAGCGACATTCGCAGTTTTGAAACCACGCCGCCCTCAATCCGCGAATCTTCTGCAATTTCTAAAACCGAATGTGCGCGGCGCTAAGGCGAGAGCCACCTTATGAAAACCACCCGCCCTCAATACATGACAAACTCTTGCAACTTTCTAAAACGAATGTGCGCAGCCCTAATGCGAGAGCCACATTTTGAAACCCACCCGCCCTCAATCCGTGCAGCTCTTGCAACTGTTTAAACCGAATGTGCGCGGCGCTAAGGCGAGAACCATATTTTGAAGACCAACCGCCCTCAATCCGTGAAGCTCTTGCAACTGTTTAATTCGAATGTGCGCGGCGCTAAAGCGACAACCACAATCTTGAAACCACCCCGCCCTCAATCCGTGAAGCTCTTTCAAATGCTTAAAATGAATGTGCGCGGCGCTAAGGCGTCAACCACAATTTGGAAACCACCCGCCCTCAATCCGTGAAGCGCTTGCAAATTAAAAAAACGAACGTGCGCGGCGCTAAGGCGACAGCCACAGTTTGAAAGCCACCCGCCCTCCATCTGTGAAGCTGTTGTCACTTTTTCAGCTTCAGAATCATAGATGGCGAGGAAGTCTCAGGCGAAACGCCAGGCCCGCCCTAAAAACTTGCCTCGGGGTGCGAGAGGGAGGAGTTATCTATAGGAGAAGGAATGGGTGAGGAGCAGGAGGAGGAAGAGGGGAAAGAGGAGGCGGAGGAGGAGGAGGAGGACCATTGCACACCCAATACTCATCAACGATGTTGGAATAAACCTTCCAACTTCCCTCATCAGAGGCCCCATACACGGATTGATCTCCACTGGAGGACATGCCCCCTTGGGAGACAAACGCATGAAGATCTTCAAGCGTGTCAAACACCATTCAAAATACGCCATCGCACCGAATCAACCTGACTGTTGCGACTTGACAATCCTGAAACTTACCAGAACACCATTCCTGGGGCCTCGGCAGTGAGACTCAATGTAACTGTCGCGCCCTGACAATCCTGAATCGCGCCAAAGCGGCGTTTCTGGTACGTATAACCATCCGAATCCGTGAAACTCTTGCAAAGTGTGTAAAAGAATATGCGCGGCGCTGGGGCCAGAACCACATTCCTTTATGAAACACCGCCCTCAATCCACAAAGCTCTTGCAAATATCTGGAACGAATGTGCGCGGCGCTCGGACGAGAACCACATGTTGAAAACGGCCCGCCCACAATCCGTGCAACCTTGTCAATTGTTTAAACAAAAGGTGAGAGGCCCGTGTTGAAAACCACCCGCCCGAAGCCCGTGAAGCTCTCTCCAACATTTTAAACGAGTGTGCGCGGCGCTAGCGAGAGCCACATTTTGGAAGCGGCCCGCCCTCCATCAGTGGAGCTGCTGCCAAGCATTAGTATTAGGGTGTATGCGGTAAGGAAGTCTCAGGCGAAACGCCCAGCCCGCCCTTCTCACCGGTTGTTTAGAAGAAAAAGGAACTGAAGCGGATGAACCGGAAGGGAGGCGATAGGGTCAGGTCGGACAAGTCCGCCAACAGGCGAATTATGAAAAAAAACGATGGTCATAACATGATCGAACAATGACTAACGTGTCAAAATAACCAAATGAGCACGAATAATCGTCACCAGACTATTTTGCTATTCTTGAATGATACCAGAGAAAAACCTAATCAGGGCTATAGGGCTAGGGGGCTATAGGGCTATTGAGCTATAGGGCTATAGAGCTATAGGGCTATAGAGTTGTAGGACTATAGGGCTATAGGGCACCCCCGGGCACCTCTAGACAACCCCGGGCACGCCCGGGAACCCCGCGGGCACCAGGGCGTGCAGCGAAAATCGGCGGCCAACCTCACCGTAACCTAACCATATGAATTCGCTGGGACCCCTACAGAGGCAAGCTCTGATTGGGGAATATTCCTCCTGTAGAAAAACATGCTCGACTGACGGGAAAGGGAGAGGGGGAGGCGGGGAGCGAGGATGAGGGGGGGGGCGCAGGCGAGGTTGAGGCAGGAGCGAGGGGGCGGGGGGGGGAGCGGAGGGAAGGACCAGGGACCAAGGACAACCCAGAGTAATGGGGAAGGGGGGGAGATGAGGGTGCAGAGGGGGGCGATGAAGGAGCACGATGACGGGGGAAAACAAAAGAAGAACCCACTGTGCGATGCGCAATCGGAGGGCCTTCGTACATCTGCGGGCGAGGTGGAGGAGACGACCGAACAGGAAGGATAGGAGGATGATTAAGGAGGGGGTGGAGAAAGCGGGGCAAGAAGGAGCACGAGGAGCAAGAATAATAGGAAGACCAACGGAAAATAACAACAATGACGAGGAATGAGTTGGAACCAGGAAAGTGGCCCGCGATTGGGGGAGGTCGCCATGAATTATGAACAGCGGGCGTACAGATCCGATCCTGGCATGTGGCAAACCCTGCATGAAAAACCAGATGTTCAACGAACACGTTCCGACGGGTGAGATATGAAGTGCAGACTTTCGAACTCCTCTGTGCCGAAATAATGAAGGCGGCACCGATGAAAACGATCAGGAGCCTCTCGCGTTCTGAATCGTTGTTGGACGACTGTTTACGGGGGAGAGGAGAGAGGGGGGGAGGATGGGGAGAGAGATGAGAAAAGCCTTAGTTGCGGAGGGGGAAAGGTGGAAATGGAGGAATCGGGAAAGAGAGACTGGAAAAGGGGTTGCGGATGAGAAAGGCGCCGCCGACGACCATGGCGCCTACACCGGCGGAGCCGGCGACGGCGCCCCCGAGACCGCCGACAACGCCGACGACGACGTCGCCGACACCTGGCCGATCGGCCTTCTATCCACACCCGTGCACGCGCCCTGAACATCACGGGGGGTCGCCAGGGCGGGGGCGTGATGGACGCCTGGCCTCTGGGGGGCTACGTTTGGAAGGAGGAGGAGGTCCAGGCCCCCCCGTCCCGGTGAGTCTTCGGGCCGTGCAGTTACCTCGGGCCTCGGGCGCGCGTTCGGGAAGCCCCGGGCAGACCTCAGACGCTTCTCGGCGACGCGCAGCTCCCGGATCGCAGTCCGCGGCTGGAACACCGCCGGGAACCGGTGAAAGCGCCCGTCCCAGCATTCCTACAGGCCTCCCGGGAGATGTGAGATGTTCTCACAACCCATGAACATTCTGAAGTCAAATCCGGGGTGACTGACGGATGCTTGAGGTCTGGTCTCCCCTCGGATAGTCCTGCACTTTTTGGTGATACTACGATTCCGACAGAACGTGCAAACCACAAAACGTACGTGCAAACCAAACTAGGTTCTTAGAAAAATGTCGGCAAGCCTGGAGGCCCGTAGGCAAACAAGGACGCCTCGCCACTGCCTGAGTGTGGGCAAAACATCAAGGGAGTTCAAGAGGGGGGCATAGAAAAAAAATCGCCATGAGATCCGGGGAGGTCTGATGGCCCTGGATATGAGATTCACGCACCCCTCCCCAGACCCCCCAACGTCGTGATTGTTTCATGGCCCACTCCCCCAGACCGGCTTCTCATCCTGAGCCGTTGCGGCCCCAGGGCCTGGCGAGGGCACCCCGAAGTCTTTGAAACTGGCAAAAGGAACCTCCTGCCGGGATTTTTCTCCATGGCTCGAGGGGGTCTGGGTCCTGGCTCGGCGGCGCGCAAAGGGGGGGCGGGGGGGAGGCTTCTTAGAAGAAGGCTGCTTCTTAGAAGGCGCCAGCCCTGCATCTACAGAGAAGACCCGCGCCTTCCCAGAAGCAGGGGTGCTTCTGAGAAGCCTTCCCCCCCTCCCCGCCTCTATCACCCCCCTCCGCGCGTGGCCGAGTGGCCGCCCCCGAGGAGCAACGGAGAGGCCGATCCCCGCGCACCCCTGGCCGCGGCCTGTGCAGGCCCTGCGCCTCCAGCTCCAGGCGCTCGGCCTCCAGCGCCTCGCGGAGCTCGGCGCCGGAGCGCACGAGCTGCTCGCCGCGCTCCCGGCGCTCCGCCTCCAGCGCGTCGCGCAGCCTCGCCTGCCGCCGGGGCGCCAGGATGCTTTTGTTATCTGTGCAACAGTGGCATTGACGGCTTCACAAGTGATGACCAACACCACGCGTCCGAGCTCCGTGAGTCAACGCACAAACTCGACGGGAAGAAGAAGGGGAACACTACCTGTCGTAACGGCGCCAGCCGGCTGTGAACCGCAGCAGCCGGGGCACCAGAAAATGTCCTGTTGCATCTTCAGGGGTCCCTGTCTTTCCCGTCGCGCCCCTGTCCGTGTCGAATCCGTCGGACTCGTCGCATCCAGGTGGAATCCAGGTAGGAGGCCACATCCGAATCCTACCCCCACCAACCATGGATTCACCTGGACCGATGGGAGGCGGGGGTAGGGTTCGGATTTCGCAACGTGCTCAACGAATTCCGACTCCTGACCCCGCCAGCACTCGAGTTGTCTGAGTCGTTGACCGGCGAGGGCAGGGTTCGATCCTGAAGGACCACTACGAGCTCACGATCCTGAGGTCCGACCTTGCGGCTCTTGGGTCGCAGGTCGCAGGGGTCAGGGGTCTGAACGACTCCAGGGCCCAACTCTTGCACATCGAGATCCGCTCCGTCGCCACGATCCCTGTGGGTGCCCTTCCGGGTGCGCCTTCTGCTCTCTGGCACGAATGAGCTCCGTGACCGCCTCGAGTCCCAGACGACCGCCCTGCGAGCCAAGACAACGAGCATCCAACAGGACCTCTACAGTGAACTGTGCGTTACTGAATACACTGTCAATCAACGCCTCCTTCATCTCAAACTGGACAATATTCCCAACGCTGGTCGCTTGAATCTGTGCGCTTAAGCAGAGCGTAGCAGAGTTGAATGTTGTATGGGCCCAGACTGGCCAGCTGGGTACCACTTCGGTTGACGATTGCGCCCCGAAGGTTGCAGAGGTGCAAGCCTTGAGGATGGCAACGGACCACATGCGTGAAGAACTCTCCGCAGTCTCTTGCGATTCAGATGCTGAAAAACACGGGTTTCAGATGTTCTGACCTGTCTGGACGGGCAACAGATGGAGATGCGCGAACTGGGTATTCTGAACTGCGCCCTTTCCTTTTAACTTGGAAGACAGCATGACCAGCACATCAAGAGCACCAACGACATCCTGGAAGAAGTTTGCAGCCTCGAGATCTGCGTGGGCCGGCTACAGCAGGACTCTGCGCACCACGACGTTTCCCGGTCCAACCACATCGCAGACGCGATCAAGCACCCTACGGTGCCAACGCCCGCATAGGCGGCTGCCTCGTTGGCTGCCCAATTGGCTGCCTACTGCCTCATTGGCTGCCTCGTGGGCCGTGGGGTGCCTCGTTTGCTGCCCGGTTTGCTGCCTCGTCGGCTACCTCGTTGGCTGCCTCGTTGGCTGCCTCGTTGGCTGCCTTGTTGGCTGCTTTGTGGACCGCCTCGTCAGCTGCCTCGCTGGCCTGGGGGCGGGGCGCGGGGCCTCGGTTCAACGCGAGGTCGATGTCAAGCGCGCCACGGTACAGAGGGTGGGAGGGAGAGGCCCGAGAACCCCCGGACCACGCCGCCGCACTGAGCATTGGAAAGATTGGACACCGCGGAACCCACCGGCAGAGACCCCCCTAACCCCCCCTCTTCAATGTTGCTGCGGCGCACCGTCCTTGATGGGGTTGCTCTACGCCCGTCTCACAGAAGGGGGGGTCTTGGGAGGAGCAGTTTCAATGCAAAGTCGCTGGGTAGGCTCTCCCTCCGCCTGCTCTGCTGCGCCAGCCAGTATTGAAGAGGGGGGAGAGGACAGGGAGAAACCCGAGGGCTGGGGAAGAGCGCTGAATAATGCGACAGTGTGGGGAAGAGTCCAGAGGAATGGAGAGGAGCGCGGACGAATGCGGAGGAATGCGATGGGGGTAGGATGAGGGAGGAGCCCCGAATGGGGAGGAGCGCCGACACGTGTGATGGAATAGGGAGGGGCCCCGAGGAATGGGAGGAGCGCCGACGGCTGCGATTGAGTACAATAGAGAGGACTCCGGAGGAGTGCGATGGAGTGGGGAAGACTGGGGAGTGGGAAAGAATCCCGAGGCCTGGGTAGGAGCCCCGAGGAATGGGGAGAAATGCCGAGGAATGAGACGGAGGGGGGAGTCTGGAAGAGAGGGAAGGAGTGCCGAGGAGTGCGATGAAGTCGGGAGGAGTCGGGAGGAGCACCGAGAATAGAGAAGGAGTGGGGAGGAGTCCCGAGGTCTGGGGAAGAATGGTGTGGAGTGCTGAGGCGTGGGATGGAATAGGGAAGGGTCCCGCGGAGTAGGGAGGAACAGGGAAAGTGAAACGTAGGGAGGAGTCTGGAGGAGTGGGGAGGAGTGCCGAAGAGTGCAATGCAGCGGGGACGAGAGCGATAAAATGAGGAGTCTGGAAGAGTGCCGGGAAATGAGACGGAGGGAGGAGTCTCAAGGGAGTGGGATGAGCGCCGAGGATTGCAATGGAATGGGGAGAAGTTGGGAGGAGTGCCGAGGAGCGCGATGGAGTAAAGGGGAGCCTGGAGGAGCGGGGAGGAGTCTCGAGGACTCGAGGAGTATAGGGTAGAGTGCTGATGAGTGCGATAGAGTGGGGGAGAGTCCCAAGCATTGGGGATGAACGCCGAATAATGAAACGGAGGGAAGAATCCGGAAGAATGGGGAGAGCGCCGAAGAGTGCGACGGAGTGCGGAGGAATGGAGCGGAGTGCTGAGTAGTGCGACGGGGTAGGGAGGAGAACGCAATGTGGCGGAGGGGCGGGATACGTCGGGAGGAGCGTGAGGTAACGCCATTCGGGGCACTTCGGCCCTGGCGGCCGCCGCATGCAGGGCTGGCGGGGCAGGGGTCTGAGGGACCACTTGGGACCACTTTGAGCCTGGCCGCTGCGGTGTGCAGGGCTTGCGAGTGAATCTCTAGCAAAGTCTAAAAAACCTAGGAATCTGTCGGGAGTGGGTGTCGTCGATCGTCGTCGTCGTCGCCGTCACCTCCGTCGTCTTCGTCGTTGTCTCCGTCGCCGTCGCCGTCGGCCGTCATTCGTCGGTGATCGCCGACGTCATCGTCACAGTCGCCGCCGCCGCCATAGTCGTCGTCGTCGTCGTCGTCGTCGTCGTCGTCGTCGTCGTCGTCGTCGACATCATCGTCGTCGTCGGTCGTCGTCGTCGGTCGTCGTCGTCGTCGTCGTCGCCGCCGCCGCCGCCGCCGTCGTGGTCGTCGTCGTCGTCCTCGTCGTCGTTGCCGTCGTCATCGTCGTCGCCGCCGCCGTCGTCGGTCGTCGTCGTCGTCGTCGCCGCCGCCGTCGTGGTCGTCGTCGTCGTCCTCGTCGTCGTCGCCGTCGTCATCGTCGTCGCCGCCGTCGTCGTCGGTCGTCGTCGGTCGTCGTCGTCGTCGTCGTCGCCGCCGTCGTCGGTCGTCGGTCGTCGCCGTTCCTATCGCCTGGAGCCCCCCAACAACATCCAAGCATCGCTGGGCCGATCCAGGCCCTGGAAAAGACAAACCTCCAGGAGAGCACGCGGCTAGTACGCGCGCCCGTCTGCTGTCTGGTAGGGTGTGCACACAAGAGCGCACACAAGAGCGCGCGCCCCGACGCACAGGCAATCGTGCCGATTGGTAACGACGGCAATCGTGGTGATGACGATGGACTGGTATTGTGGTGCGTAGTCTCCATGTGCGGTACCTCAGTAAAAGCAATGGATCCGCGTCCCGAGCAACAAGGCAGGCCCATGCAAGCAACCCAGGACACCAACATGGCCCATGACGCCTCAAAGATGGCCCAAGATGGCCCCAATGCGGCCCAGAGTGGCCCCAGACTTTAATGCGCGGCTCAAGGGGGCGCGTGGCTCAGCGATGGGGGAAGCCCTAGTAGGCCCGCACCACTCTCACGTGTAGCCACCTCCTCCCCCCTCGGCCACGAGGCCTCCAGCGCCTCCGCCCCCAGGGCGCGCTCCCGGCGCTCCGTCACGAGCGCCTCCCGCAGCTCCGCGCCGAGCCTCTCGCGCGCGCTGCGTCTGCAGTCTTTACGGACCCACTGCCCGTGACGGGGGGCGGCGCGTCCGCCATCCTAGACTGGGGATGGGTCTGGCCAAGGGCAAAAGGTATGTCTAGACCTCTAAGACGAAGCCAGGACGAGGGTAAAACCGGAGGAGGATAAATCGAGAATCTCTGAGATCCCGCGGCTCTGGAAGATGTCTCGCGCGTCGCGGCCTTCTCAGAACGTTCCGGGGCGTCCTGGGCGCGTTTCGGCACGCTCTGGAACGGATAACGCCTTGTTCCGGCCCCGTCCAAACCTCGTCGCCCGAGCACAGAGGGGTCGCGAGGCTGCAGTCGAGACATGGCCACCGAGGCGCGGAGCAAAAAAACAAAACGGCCGCTCCTTCGCCGGAGGCCTGTTGTCCTATGGAGGCGCCCAAGACGAAGGACTACGAGGTGGAGAGCAGAAACACGAGGAATATGGAAGCACATCCATGTGGCACAGAAGGACATATTAGTACTATGTGTCCTCCTCGGAGGCGTGCGTCCGACCGAAATATATAATACAACCATCTTGTATTATATCGTTTCCCAAACGATACGGCCAGACAGCGCCCGCCACGGAGCATATACAATAAGATTTCTCGGCGCGCGAGTCGACCCTGTAAGGGCGACGCACACATAATATTAGTATGTTTGGGTGGCGCCGACTCTAGCGTCGTTCTTAATCCTCGTGCCAGCTGTACGATAAGTCCACGTCGTGATGTCGTGGGCGTTGATGTGTGACACCACGCACGTGGGCCGTACAATCTTCCACGTCCGCGGCTTCTCGATTACGCCGCTCATTCGATGTCGGTCGATGCAGGGCAACCGGCAGCGTTCAACCTTGAGCGCCCGCGCTGGGGTCACCGTCGCGTTGACGCGGTGCGAATCCACCGCACGGGACGTCACCACCATCCACACGTCACCACCATCCACCACCTTGCCTGGCCAGGGCCATTCTGGGACCTGGTATGATGAGTACGCCCTCATGGCCGAAGCCACGAGTGTCATCCTAGGTCCCGGGACCCAGGATGGCCCTGGCGGAGGGATGGCCAGAACGGGGCGGATGGGAAGAAAGGGGGTGGAGGAGAGAATACAGTGGATGTGGAGGCGAGGGAGAATATAGAAGGAACGGAAGCTGGAGACTGCTACTCATAAAACCTTCCAGAAGGAGGAGGAGGAGGAGGAGGAAAAGCGAAGAGAAGGGGAGGAGGATGAGGAGGAGGATGGGGAGGAGGAGGGTTCAAGGATTCCAAGCTGTTCTTCTTTTTTTGTTGGGGGGGGCGGCTTCGGGTATTGCGAATCATTATGCTGTACTTCCTCCGCTTTCTCACCTTCCTCCTCCTCTTCCTCCGCCTCCATCCCCCTTCCCTCCTTCTTGCCCCTTTCACCTACTCCCTCTCCCTCTCGATCTCCCCGAAGGCACTCGCGAGGCCCGGGTCGAGGACTCCAGCCCAGGAGTGGGGGCGAAGGACAGCCACCCGGGGGGGCGCGGGAGCGGAGCGACTTCGCCACGCGGGATTCCCGAGCCCGTCGGGCACGCGTCCTCGGCATGCTCGGTCCCAGACGGTCGCGGCAGCCCAGAAGGACAGGATGCAACCCTGCTGCAGGTGTGGAGCTTCCTGCTCAGACAGAGAGCCCATGCGAGGGTCTCATGTATATCCGCCACCGTGCCCGCACGGAGTGGGCGTGTTAGAATGCTCGTCTGTTGTCTTGGATTGTTGTTGCATGTTCTCTAGGCTCCCCCCCCGTCGCCTGGCACACGCGGGGTCTTGAGACCCCCCCTGAAATTGCTCTGTGGCGGTCTGTTCAGCCTCGAGACGGCCAGGATGGCGTCCCACACGACTTCCAAGACAACTACAATGACACCAAGATGCCCCAATACGGCTCAAGAGGCTCCCAAGACGGCTACAAGGCGTCAGACGAGGCCTCCAAGACGGTCCAAGCGGTCTCCAAGAGGCACTCCAGGAGAGCCCCAGGAGGCAACAAGCATTGATTTTCCTGAGGCTACTGGAAGATGTTGAGATTCTTGCCTGTTTGGGTTTCCGACCGCCCAAGACGGCCCAAGGGGCTTCCAATATAGCTCCAGGCCAGCCCATGAGGCCCCGAAGGGAGCCCCAAGCCGACCCAAGAAAACCCAACGATCTCCCAAAAGTTCCCAATATGGCCCCAAGGCGGCCCTAAAGCGCTCCAAGAGGGCACCACGACGCCTCAGAGAGGCCCCCTAAGACGGCCTCCGAATGCGTCCGACAAGCCAATCGCCTCCCCAAAACAGCCCAAGAGGCCCGCAGAGGCCCCAGGATGCCCGCAAGATGCCCCCAGACGCTCCGAGGTTCCCAGGATGCCGCAAGAGGGTCCCAGCAAGCTTTCTCCTTGTCCTCATATTCTCCTCCTCCTCCTCCTCCGACTCTTCCTCCTCACTGCCGCGAAGACGAAGACAATGTCGGGATCACGACCGTCCCCTGTTCAGACCACTCGCTTAACTGCCGCAGGACTTGATCTTGATCTCACTTCCCCGCGCGGACGAAGACGAGGTCGAGTTTACGACCCGTCCTTATCAGACCGCTTGTCGGAACTTTGCTGTTCCTACACTCAGTCTCCGTCCTGCAGCGCTCTTGCACGGGCATGGCGGCGGGGTTTGCCGCAGACAGCTGGATCATCATTTAAAAAGCCTCGTGATGGCACCTGCGGCCTGTCTGGCCAGCTGGGAATGAGTTCTGACGACGAACTTGCACGAAGACTTTGAGAAAGCTAACCTTGAGGCCCTATGATGGCCTGGACACCAGTGAGGGTCGCACTCTCGTTGAGGCTATGGAGGTGGGAGGCCCTGCGGCCGACAAAGGCAGTTCGAGCTCTTACAGCTCCCTGCAAGACCGCAGCACGCTTCATCCCGGGGGGAACAGCTTTGGGACTCATCCAGTCTCGTGGAGGATCTCTGTCGGGTGGAAGGCTCCAGGTGATGCCTCGACGCGTCTTCCGTCCCCGCTTGAAGAGGGGTCGGATACAGAGGAGAGCGCGCTGGTTTGATCATGGAACGCCAGAGTTAATTCCCGTCCCCAACAACCCTTCTGCTCCTTCAGCCCTCGGAGAGAGGGAAGTTCAGGGAGCTGGAGGATCAGTGGTGACAGGAAGAGGAGAAGGATGGAGAGGCGAGGTTATGTCTGGCAGATCCGGCAGCCGGCCAGGCCCCCCTGCCCCCCGCGGGATTCGGATGACGACGGGAAGAGGAAGGGGCCTGGGAAAACCGATTCGAATCTTGATTATGTTGCTAGCCTATGGGATTCTGGTGCTGACCAACGATTGCAGGAACAAGGTGGAGGAAACTGATAATGATGACGCTGCTGCTGCTTCTGATACTGATGATGATGCTGATGATGATGGTAATGATGATGCTGCTGATGATGACGACGATGGTGATGGTGATGACAATGATGTTGGCGAAGATGACGACGATGCTGATGATGCTGATGATGCTTATGATGATGCTGATGATGTTGATGATGACGAGGATGGTGATAGTGGTGATGGTGATGATACTGATGATGTTGATGCTAATGCTGATGCTGTCGTTGTTGGTGATAACGGTGATGACACATGAAAATGACAATGCTGATGCTGCTCCTGATGATGATTGCCATGATGATGAGGAGGAGGAGGAGGAGGAGGAGGAGGAGGATGATGATGATGAGGAGGAGGAGGAGAAGGAATGAGGAGGTGGAGGGGGAGGAGGAGGAGGAGGAGGAGGAGGAGGAGGAGGAGGAGGAGGAGGAGGAGGAGGAGGGGGTTCATTTTCTGACGTTGCTGCTGGTCCATTTTGCAAGGGGAGGGCGCAGAGGGAAAGACGGATCGCAAAGTGAGGGGGAGGGAGACGGGAAGGGAAGTATGGACAATGGGTTGAGTATACAGGGGAGGACCAACCAGAACCCCACCAGAGCTCTGGAAGCCCGAAAAGATCCTACACACCACCTCCTCCTCCTCCTCCTCCTCCTCCAATATTTACCTCGCTCCTCCCTCCTCACAAGTTATCCTCCTCCTCTTCCTCCTCCTCCTCCGTGACCTCCTGCCTTTCCTCCTCGTCCATCCTGTTCTCCTGCAGCCCTCGCCTCTCCTCCGCATTCTTCTCGTCCTCCTTGTCCCTATCCTCTTCGTTCTCCTCTCCCCCCTCCTGCAGACCCCGCTTCGCTTCTACTCTTCGCTCCCCTCTTCTCTCCCGCCCTCCTGCCTCTGGAGGTCCTTGGAGGCGTCGGGCACCCCGTGGCCTGAGCCAACGGCCCACAGAAGCTTCAAGCGGCCCCCCCGAGCGTGCGGGGGGGGGGGCCGTCAAAACCACGCGACACCATGCGAGCGGATAGCGTGTAGCTCCGATGTGCGGGGCGGGAGGCTGGGAACAGCTCGGGACGCTGACGCTGGAGAATGGGGACGCGGATAGCAGCTCGCGCCGAAACGCGGTGGGCCAGAAATGGCGACGGGGCACGCCAAGCCAGAATTCCTGACGCTTGGGGACGGGGACGCGGATGGCGTGTCGCGCCGAAGCGTGGTGAGCCAGAACCGGAGGCGCCACACGCCAAGCCAAAGCACCTGACCGCAGTCCCCCCCCCGTCCCTTTCCTCTCCTGGGGGGGGGGAAGCTCACGGGACTGGATCAAGGTGAGCGGGGACTGGATCAAGGTGGGGACTGGTTGTGTGTTTCTGGGGAATACGGACTTGCTCCTCGCTGGCTTCACGACGCCACAAGGTATGGATGAGCCTTTCGCTCCAGAAGGGGCACGCGCGGGGGCGGACCGGCCCAGGGGGGTGGCAGCCACCGACCCGGCTCCGGCCATGCACCGCCCATGGATCGGCGATGGGCCCCCCAAAACAGCGACCCCGCGCCTTATCGGGCTTCTCAGAGCGTTCCGGAGCGCTCTGAGGCGCTCCGGAGCGTCTTGGAACAGATCTACCCTCGTCGTAGCCCCGTCCTACCTCCCCTCCCTCCCCAGGACGAGGGCTGTTTAGGATGAGCAGCGGCGCCAGTACTTGTCCCTCCTATGCCCTCCTCTTCTTTTTCCTCCTTTCGCTCCTCCCTCTCGTCCCCCCCCGTTCCTCGAAGGTTCGTTTTGCTTTCAACCCACAGCGCGCACATCCGTGGCCTTGGTCCGCTCAGGTCGGGCAGCTGGGCGCGCCCCCCATTGAGAGGGAGAAGCGACAGCAGAAGCAGAGACGAGAGAGAACCAAGAGGGGCGGCAGGGGGGAACCGTGGCGAAGCGACCGGCCCTCCCCACCGCCGCCCCGCCCGCCCCCCCCCCCCTGGCGGCCTCTCTTGCTCCAGCAAGAGGCCCCGGCGGTCCGCCTCGCCAGCCTGCGGGAGGGCGGGGGTGAAGGACTGGGAGGAGGGGGGCAAGGAGAGAGGGAGGGAGAAATCATTGGCCGGGGGAAGGGCTTCCTTCGGAGACCCCAAAGCGGAACGTAACCAGCCACCTCAGTCCTTGGGTGGCGCAGCTGGTTTCTCCCGCGCCTTGATGCGCGCCGCCCACGCGCGGGCGAAGGAGACGAGCCGAGCGCGAACGCAAGGACGACAATCCTCCTGCGTTTGAGGAGGAGGCGGCTTGGGGAGGGGAGGGGGAATAGGGGCGAGGGAGGAGGGGGGGGAGGGAGGACGGGCCGTCGTCATCGGAAGAAGCTCCTGACCCAGGGGGGGGAGTAAGGAGGAGGAGAGAGGTCGACGACGAAGTCCCCAGCATCTTGGAGGAGGACACGTGAATTGTGGAACAGTCGCCTCGTTGGCGAACAATCGCCAGCTCAAGCTGTCGCCGAACGACGCTGGCCTAGATCTTGTTATTGATGGTAGTCACGCCTCCACCACTTCACCTCTCTCCGATATCCGCTCGCATTCATACTCGCACACACTCAGACCAACTCATACCCATACCCATTCATACTGGCACAGCGGTTACCCACACTCAGACGTCTCTCACCCATACACCCCCTCACTCACACTTCTTCTCACTCAGACTCACTCATTCCCTGAACCACTCGCTAAGACTAATTCGTGCCCCAGACTCACTCGTAACTGCGGACTCCCACATACTTAGACTCGCTCGAACTCAAACTCGCTGCTCTTCACAATCGCATGACCACCGCGACGTAGCAGGCATGGTACTGGCGCCTCCTAAAGGGAAGCCGCCGGTGGAAACCCACTCCTACAGACAGACGCACTTTAGTTCAAACCCGCTTGTGTTCAATCATTCAGTCGCTCTCATGCACCGACGCTTCTAAGGAATAGAGCATACCAAAAAAAGAGATGCACATATTCGGATCTCCGGCTCGAAAGATCTAACTGTGTCGGACCCTCGATCTCTCGGCACCATCCGCGGGACCGGCGTTTCGTCGCGTGTCACTTTTTGATAGCCCCAGAGCCTACAGACGAGCGAGCCCCGCACCCGAGCAACCTCATCCCCACTACCAACTTTTTCGACAAACCTCAGCCCCAGGCGGAGAAGAGCGCCAAGAGGACCATGATGCGAGAACGAAGCGCCCGTCGTGACTTTTGGAGGCCGTACGTCCAACCAAGGCCAGAATAGTCAGACCGGGTCAGAGGATCGCGCCGCATCGCCGACGCCTGGATGGAGACGAACGGGCCGCAGCGATGCGGTGCGACCCTTCGGCCCCATCTGCTCCATTGTGGCGGCCTGGAACCTCTGCCGCGACGCTCGGGCTGGGCCACGGCAGAGTGTCCGCCTCGCCGCCGCACCCGTCGGCGGAGGCCTTCCGCACTTGGCGGATGCCCCGGCGCCCCCTAGCGGCGAGACGGGGGGGCGGCGCTGTGGCCCAGCAGCGCGCGCCTGCTGCCAACGGCAACGACGACGGCGAAGGCTGCGGCGGCGGCCATCTTGTGCGCCTCGCCGCGCACCAGGCTCGCGCGCACGGCGGCCGGGCGGCTCGGCGACAGAGCATAGCCACCCTGCCCTCGTGGCCACATACGACGGCGACAGCGGCGACGACGACTCAACGCGACGGCGACCACGGCGTCGACGACGGCCACGACACAATGGCGACGGCGACAACGCCGCCGACGACGTCGACGATGACGGCGACGGCTCGGCTTTCGGCGGCCGGCCGGCGGCTCTCGCGCGCGAGCCCGCTGGGGGCGCGCCTTCTGCAGGGCGGCCTCGAGGGCCTCCAGCTGCGCGGCGCGCCCCCTCCGCTCTGCGTCGAGGGCCTCCCGAGGGGTGGGGGGGGCGACCTCGCCGCAATCGCCGCCGCCACCGTCGCGGACGTCGCCGTCGTCGTCCTCTGGTGGCTCCTGCTCCGGCCTCCCGATGCCACCCGAGGGCCGCCCCCGCCCGCAGACTCGGCGACGATGACGGCGGCGAAGAAGAAGAAAACGACGACGACGACGAAGAGGTTCGAGGTTCGAGGTTTGGACTCGCAGCTCGTGCCGCCTGCAGTGGTGCGAACAAGGCGCGTCGTTCTTAGGGGAACGTCCGTGAGCGGCGGCGGCGGCTGCGTCCTGCCATGTGCTCGTTGCGGCTCCCTACTCCTACTACCCCGAGCCGCTCCCCCTCCACCGATCCTTATCCCTGCTGGCGTGGCCCGGCCCCCCCATGGGGCTCTGGGCTGTTCCCTTCGGGTTTCGAGGGGCCCATCCATGGCTGGGGTGGTGGGATGGTGGGGCTGAGATACCCTGGCTCGGTGGGCATGGGGGTAGGCTCCAACCCCCCCCCCAGAAGCATCGACCCATTCCGCGGGACCAGATTCTTTTCCTGGACCTTCTCTGATGGCGAAAATCCGCCGACCTTCCGGCGTGTGTGAGATGCGTTTCCGTTTGAGTCGTCGTCAGCGTCGTCGTCGTCGTCGTCGTCGTCGTCGTCGTCGCCGCCGTCGTCCGTCGTCGTCGTCGTCGTCGTCGTAGTAGTCGTCGTCGTCGTCGTCGTCGTCGTTTGTTGTCGTCGTGGTCGTCGTCGTCGTCGTCGTCGTCGTCGTCCGTCGTCGTCCGTCGTCGTCGTCGTCGTCGTGAGTCCCAGGGAAATTAAGGAACAAAGGCATTGAAGGCTGTCTTGGTTAAGTCGAAGGGGAGCCCCTCTCCTTTGATCCCTGCCCTGCCAGGTGGCGTCACACGGGGGGGTCCTCGAGACTGCGCACGAGGCCTCCAAGACGCCCCAAGGGGCCTCCAAAAGCACTCCCACGAGGGCCCCGCGAGGCGAACACTGATTTTCATTCGGTTTGCAACAGGTTTTGGCGTTGTCGCCTTTTCGGCTTCCCGCCGCTCCAAGACGGCCCAAGAGGCCCCTAAGATCGCCCCAAGACGGCCCAAGAGGCACCCAGGACGGCCCCCAGGAAGCCCCAAGAGGCCCCCAAGAGACTCCCGAGAGGCACCTAAGTGGCTCCCAAGAGGCTCCAAAACTGCTCCCCAGAGGTCCCCGAGAGCGCCCCGAAGACACCCCAAGAAGCATCCCTGAGGACCTGACCCATGTCAGCGTCTTCGTCGCCGCCGCCGCCGCCGCCGCCGCCGTCGTCGTCGTCGTCGTCGCCGTCGTCGTCGTCGTCGTCGTCGTCGTCGTCGTCGTCGTCGTCGTCGTCGTCGACGTCGTCGTCGTCGTCGACGTCGATGTCGTCGTCGTCGTCGTCGTCGTCGTCGTCGTCGTCGTCGTCGTCGTCGTCGTCGTCGTTGTCGTCCCCCTTGAGGGTCGGCGGCACCGGTCGTAAGGCCCTCGCAAGATAGAGAACAACCTTCCGTCATGCTTTCTTCATGAATCGAGGGACGTCTGGGCTATAAATCATCATCATCATCATCATCATCATCATCATCATCATCATCATCATCATCATCATCATCATCATCATCATCATCATCATCATCATCATCATCATCATCATCATCATCATCATCATCATCATCATCATCATCATCATCATCATCATCATCATCATCATCATCATCATCATCACAACAGCAGCAGCAGCATCATCCTCCTCCTCCTCCTCCTCATCCTCCTCCTCCTCCTCATCCTACTCTTCATCCCCCTCCTCCTCCTCCTCCTCCTCCTCCTCCTCCTTCTCTTCCTCCTCCTCCTCCTCCTCGTCCTCGTCCTGGCGACAGCGGGTGGGGTTGGGGGCGGGGCGCGCCTCCCGCAGCGTGGCGCCCATCTCCTCCTGCACGGCGCGCTCCCGCCGCTCAGCCTGCAGGGTCTCCTGGAGGAGGGGGGGGGGCACGCAGCGCGGGGCGGGGGGGGCTCGCCCCCAGGAGACGCAGCCAGGACGACGAGAAATCGGGGTGGGGATAATCTGGGCGTCGCTTGCTGGAGGAGCGATAATTGCACGGGGAGGAGGAAAAGTACACTTTTCGGGCAATCAAGGAACCCTTTTCTGAACCCTTAGGAGCCCCTTTGGGGGGCCCCTGCTGGGCACTCCTTTTGCAACCATCGCTTACCCCCTGAGACGAAGCCAGGACCAGGAGAAATCCAGGACCAGGACTATATAATGAGGACGCACAACGAGGAAGCAAGGGCCCTGGAAGCTTGTCAAGTGGAGCGCGGCCAACGAAAGTGGCCAAGGACGGACTGAGGAGGCAAAGGGGGGACCTCATCCAAAGGCGTCCAAAGGGTCCCCAAACCCGCTGATCCTGGGGAGTCCGGTTTGAGGGCGGGAGGGACCCGCCCCCCGAGCTTGTTAACATATGAAGAGGACTTTGTACTTAAATGCGCATATGTGCACACATATATGTATGTCTAAATATATATGTATGTAGATCTGGAATGTCTAAAAGCCATCGCAACACACACCATCTGGGGTGACAGTTAAGAAAATACTGAATCCCAACGCAATAGTGCTCATCTAGAGAACAATAAAGAATGCGGGGCAAAGGGGACCGCTGGGGACGTCCCCGCGATCGCCATCCTAAGGCCACCTTGGGCGTCTTGGAACGCTCTTGGGCCGTCTTGGGGGCCTCTTGGACCGCTCTTGGAACTCGGCGTCTTCTGGGGGCGTCTCCAGCCTCACAGCGCAATCCCAGCGCGCTCCTGTGTCCCCAGGGCCCTCGCGGCGCGTCGAAGGGCCTCCCTGGGAGCCGCCAGCCCTGTCCCCCGGTATACAAACATACCATATCATATCATACCATATCAAAGCATACCAGATCATATCATAGCATACATATAAACAGATATTCCTTTTAGGAATATGTTGGACCCCCTCCCAGGGACGCCCCGGACGCCCTTTCGGACGTCTCGACGCCCCCCGGACGCCCTTGGAAAAGGTCCGCTGGCCCTTCCGGGCCTCCCAGGGCGCCTCGCCGGGCCTTGCGAACAGACTCAAAGCGATCAGAAGGGTCATCGGAAAAGGCGCACGAGAGAACCAAAACACCACAAAGGCGCTCCAAGAGGAACCTCGATGGTCTGAAGACGGCCGAAGAGGTCATCAAGACGCCCCAAGAGGGCGTTAAGAGAGCCCCGAAGAAGCAAAATTCCTCCCAGTCCCTTGGGAACATGTTTTTTTAGCATATCCGCTCTTGGTCTGCGCAGCGTCCAAGACGGCCCGATGGGCTCCCGATATCGCCCCAAAACGGCCCAAGAGGTCCCCTGAAGGATTTGAAAACGGCCCAAGAGGGCTCCAAGACTGCCCCAGCGAGCCCCGCGACTGGCCACAAACAGCCCAGATGCCCCCAGAAGGCTCCCAAGAGAGACCCACGAAAACTATGGGAGACCCCCAGGAAGGCCACTGGAGGCCCCCAAGAGAGCCAGCCCTAGATGGCTTCAGAAGACCTCTGGAGGGCCCCACTCCCCAAAACGGCCCAAGAAGGCCCCAGGACGGCCCAACTGGGCCCCAGGACGGCCCAAAAGAGCACTACGAAGTGCATCGAGCTGACCCGAAGATCCTGGTTCCACGCGTGAGGCTCGAGGTTTATATGCCTCGATCGAGTGAGACAAACAAGTCTACCCCCCTCCTCCCCCCTTCCGCCTCCTCAGCCCCCCCTTCATCTCTACTCCGTTCCCGTTCCCCGTTCATGGACAAGTACCATCGCAACAGTTTGATGCTTCTTCGTTTGCCAGCACCCTCGCGCGTGAGAGAAATCATCATTCCCCACTCCTGCGCACAAGCGGGCAAACGCATCGGGCGAACGCGGTGTCAGCAGACACCAGTGAGATCAGACAAATGAGCCGGTCGCCCGTCCAGGCCACGAGGTCCCCCTGCTGAAGCAAACGATGATTTTTTGCTTTGCCTGGGAAGCGTCCGGAACAAAGCGCATGGCGCGATGCACCAATGCAGTCTGATATATTTATATATATATATATATGTATATATATATATATGTATAGAGATGTCCACACACACATGTGTGTATATATATATATATATATATATACGTGTATACATCCGCCGGCCCCCTTGCGGGGCCATCAAGCTGCGAAAATTAGGTTTACAGCTCCCTGTGCCAGTTACCAGTTGCAGCTTCCAGTTTCCATTGCTCCGTACTGCTAATTGTTGCTGAACGCGCGGTTGTGGGGAGCCGATTAGCGTCTTGGTTAGCGTCCCCGAATCGCGTTGTCTGAATTCCCGGGAGGTCGTGGGACACCTACACATACGTGATATTCGCATCCCCGAGGCCATAATCCCTAGTTGGTTACGCCATACTCGCATCCCCGAGGCCATAATCCCTAGCTGGTTATGCCATACTCGCGTCCCCGAGGCCATAAACCTTTGTGAACTATACCTTATTCGCGAATCCGATGTCATAACCCCATTTGTAAGTTATGCGATATTCGCGTCCCCGACGCCATAAACCATAGTAAATTACTCCATAGTTGCGCCCCCCGAAGCCATAAACCTTGGTAAATTACACAATACTCGCGCCTCCGAAGCCATAAACCGTTTTCAAACATTTTGGAATAATCGGATCCCCAGGGCCAGAAACCATGTTGTAATCCCACCAGCCCTCTGGGCGTCGGTGGTTTAGAGCGTTTCCTCTTCCACCCCTCCTTCTTCCCCTTTCGGGGAGGGGTTTACCCCTCCCCCTACCCCCTCCCCACTGACCTGGACAGGAGGGGCGGGGAGCGGTCAGAGCGTCCAAAACGGCCTCGGCGAGGAAGCCAAAATCATTGATTTTACTATGGTTTGGGTCCCATTTTGGTCTTCTGAGGGGGCAACGCTAATTAAGGCTCCCCTCTTCTTTGATCGATTTCCTCCACGATGGCCGCAAGAGGCCCCCAGGATGCCCCAAGAGGCCGCAGGATGGCCCCAAGATGGCCCCAAGAGGCCACCCAAGAGGCCCCCAGGAGGCCCCCAAGAGACCCCCAAGAGGCCCCAAGAGACCCCCCAGAGGCACCCAAGGTGCTCCCAGAGGCCCCAAGATGGCCCCAAGAGGCCCCAAGAGGCCCCCAGGAGGCCCCAAAGAGGATCCCGAACGGCCCACAGAGGCCCTCCCGAGGCACCCAAGACGCCGAACAGCCCCTCAGGACGACCCTCTACTCGCCTGGGCGTCGTTTCTGGACGGGCTGGTGGGGATATATGTTTACAGCCGCAGGCGGAAGCGCCAGCGGCGGGCGGTCGCGGTCGGGCTGCGGCCGCGACTAAGAGGCGGGCGCGCGCGAGGCCGCGGTCGGCTGGTGGGGATACGCGAAGCGTCTAGAATTTGCACCATACTTGCGTCCCCGATGCCCCAATCCTCGCACATTACACAATACCAGCCCACGTACATTAAGCAATATTTGCCCCCCGAAACTATGAACATGTTCTAAGTTACGAGATATGTGCGCCCCCGAGGCCGCAAAACCTTGCAAATTCCACAACGTTCACGCCCCCGAAGCCATAAACCATTGTAAAGTACAAGATATTCGCGCCACCGAAGCCGTGAACTCTTGTAAATTGAAATTGGCCCTCGCGTGAAGTCCCGACACTGCTTCACGTTAGCGCCCAGACATCCCAACACAGCTCTGGCAAGTCCCATTCTAAGAGAGGGGGGCCGGCGGCATGGGGGCGAAGCCCTTACGGACCAACACATGTATCTATATATATATACATATATACAGAGATTTATAGATCATCTATATATACTGATACATATATCTGTGTATATATATACATGTAGAGAGAGAGAGAGAGAGAGAGAAAGAGACAAAAGCGAGAGAGAGAGAGAGAGACAGGGAGAGAGAGAAGGAGAGAGATAAACATAGACTTATGCGTATAGATCAATCGTTTCGTTCTGGTCTCCGTGGGATGCTTCCAGGGATATACATACAAAACTTAAAGAATTATCCCGGCAAAGCAACCTAACAGCGATGTGTAGGAGCATATCTGGAAGCATTCCCCTTAAGATTCAGATGAGAATCCAGTTGTAGAATTCTGCTGTTCTCGCAGTCGTAGTCGCATTCGCGATGACAGTCGCAGTGGCAACGGCAGTCGCAGTCACAGCCTCAGCCTCAGCCTGCCTCAGCCTCAGCCTCAGCCTGCCTCAGCCTCAGCCTGCCTCAGCCTCAGCCTCAGCCTGCTTCAGCCTCAGCATCAGTCTGCCTTCAGCCTCGGCCTCAGCTTCAGTCTGCCGTCGGCCTCGGCTTCAGCCTCAGCCTCAGCCTGCAGCCTCAGCCTCAGCCTCAGCCTGCCTCAGCCTCAGCCTGCCTCAGCCTCAGCCTCAGCCTGCCTCAGCCTCAGCCTCAGCCTGCTTCAGCCTCAGCCTCAGTCTGCCTTCAGCCTCGGCCTCAGCCTCAGCCTGCCTCAGCCTCAGCCTGCATCAGCCTCAGCCTCAGCCTGCCTCAGCCTCAGCCTCAGCCTGCTCCGGGCATCACAATCTGGGAGTGGCCTACAGTTGGCTCCGGGCATTCAAATGTGGCCCGGGAATGGAGTTCTGGGAACTCGAAGAGCACGAAGTGGCCTACAGTTGGCTCCGGGCATTCAAAATGTGGCCCGGGAATGGAGTTCTGGGAAGTCGAAGAGCACGAAGTGGCCTACAGTTGGCTCCGGGCATTCAGAATGTGGCCCGGGAATGGAGTTCTGGGAGGTCGAAGAGCACGAAGTGTGTGACTGTATGCGAAAAACGATCCCCCCCGGCAAACCCCAACGGCCCCCCAACGCTCCCCAACGGCTGCCCAGACCCCCCTGTGGAGTAATGTGCTGCTCTCTTTTTAGCCCATTAGAAACCTATCAGTCTACGCTGTTAGGTAAAAAACATAGTATCTGGCGGCCAGCGAATGGCAGTCAGGATTTGTGTTGGGGGACATCTATGTGTAACAAAAGAATCAAGTTCTCCACATTTGATATACATACGCACACGGAAACCGACACCTGCGTTTTGGCCGCTATGTGCCACCAGCTGGTGGACAAACGCGGAATTGTAAAGTGGACATGCTCTTGGCCCCCGACAGAGAGACGAGGCCCTACGAACACGTGTTTTGGTTTGTGACCGCTTGACTCAAGCGGCGATCGAGCGACGGAGGGGCGCTTCCGAGGCGAACTGAGGCACTAAAGCAGGCGCGGCGGGAGGCGGTGGAGCGGCGCGCGGGGGGAGGGTGGGGCCGCGACTTTTGTACACAACCCCCACAAACAAGCTGGTCCGACACAAGACCGCGAAGCGGGGGCTGCGCACCGAAATGGCATCCCCTGGGGACGCGATGTTGGTGCACCACCCCCGCAAACAAGCTGGTCGGGCACAAGGTGCGCGGGTAGGGGCGGTGGCCACACATCGGCCCCCCAGGGAGGGAAGACCAGCCCACGAACAACACACCGCGACGGCAACAACGACGGCGGACGACCCCCGCCGGCACCGGGGGGTGGCCATCCTGCAGCCGGGCGTCCGCCTCCTGCAACCGCTGGCCCAACGCCTGGCCGGGCGAGGCCCGCGCGCCCCGGGCCCAGGCTCATTGACGCTCCGCGGCCCGCCTCGGAGGCAGGCTCGGGGGCGTCCAGAACCACGAGATCTGGACGTTTCCGCGCACCTGCGGGCGCCGGGACTCTGCCAGATGGACCGGGCTCGGGAATGGATGCCGAGGAAAGATAGGGTGCAGTGCTATGGTAGTGATTGATCACGGTGTCGCCTCTTTTCTGCGTCGTCGAATCTCCAGGGAGGGGGGGCGTCCAAGAGGGCGGGTCGCAAATTATGGCCTGAGGCACGTGCTCAGGAAGGACGCACTGGCCCGGGTCACTGCAAACCCGGGTCAGTCAGGCGTTGCAAGTCCTGCAAATCCTTCAGAATCATGCAAGCTCCTGCGCTCCAGCCTGGTTCAATGCACCCCTGGCTATGCAGGATCCTGCACTTTCCAGCGCTCTGACTGACTCCCGCTTGCATTGACCGCCGTCTCTTACAGCTCGAACCTAGGAAGATACCATTGTCCCGGCCATGACATCCCCAGACCCCCGACGTCATAATTTGTTCATAACATCGACCCCCAATGCCTCGACCCATTCCCCAGGACTACCTTTTCATCCCGCGTCTTGTTGACGGTCCCGAGGCCCAGCAAAGGCCCCCAGATGCCGAACATGGCGAAACAACTCCCGTCATGATTAACAAAAATGGTCTGGGTCCATTCCCCCATATAGTCACCACTCCCCTCGTGGCCGCCCAGGGCAAGGTTTGTCGACGATTTGGGCGCCGCTTACGGGGGGACCGATCAATGGGGGGGGGAAAGGTACACTTGTCGGGCCCTAGGCCCCTTTCTGGGCCCTAAACGGAGGCCTCCCACATGGGGTCCGAGTAGATGGGGTCGGAGGACCGCGCCGCATCGGCGATGCATCCCGGATGCATCGGCGATGCATCGGCGATGCATTGGCGACATCGGCGACGCATCTGCGACGTCGGCGTGAAGACAATCGGGCCCTCATCGAGCCGCGTCGCCGATGCATCGCCGATGCACCGCCGATGCATCGACGATGCGGCGGGATCCCCCGACCCCATCCACTCCGATCCCATCCAGGAGGCCTGAACTAGAGGGCCCCTTTTCTGCAGCCCTCGCTGCCCCCCTCACTCATCGCCCCCGCATTACGCAAAGCCCAGACGATGCGCATTACTCCTTCCGTCCGGGCGCCCTCCCTGGAGCTCGGCCTCGCGGGCGTGCCGTCGGACCCCTGGGACCCCCAAGCGCGGAGACGGGACGGCGTACTGCCCCCCCCCGGGAAAGGGGTCGGAGCCTCTGAGGCCTGCAGGACGAGGAGGAAGAAAGAAGGAGAGGGAAAGAGGAAGGGGGAAGAAAGAGGAGGTAGGAAGGAGGAGGAGGAGGAGGAGGAGGAGGAGGAGGAGGAGGAGGAAAAAGAAAGGAGTGGAGGGAGGAGGAGGAGAGGAGAGGAGGAGGATGAGGAGGAGGGAGGAGGAGGAGGAGGAGGAGGAGGATGGAGGAGGAGGAGGAGGAGGAGGAGGAGGAGGAGGAAGAGAGGAGGAGGAGGAGGCGCGCACGTCAGCATGGGGGCCTGAAGAGGCCCAGGTGAAACCGAGCAGAGAGAAGGGGCCAACCCTGCTGGTCTGGTCAAGCAACCCATCGTCGAGCGGTGCTGCAGCCTCTCCTGTGCACAGGCGTCCCCCGGAGCATCAGCCAGACAAGTCGGGTTCGCACACCCATGCCCTGCTGGACAATGGACCCGTATCGGCACGCCCTCCCCCAACTTCGTCAGGGCCACCGACGAGGGAGAGGGCGGCAGGCCGGCGGATGTCCAAGATCTTGTCAACCATCTTGTCGAGTTCTTGCCGCTGTGTCATGCGCTCCCCCTTGTGCTGACTAGAATCTGGTGAAGCCGAAATTGCACTTTTGGAACCGTTGGACCTCATAGTTCCCCAGGGTGTTGGCCGTGTGGTCCGAGCTTACTTGCGCCCTCGCTTGGACCACTTTGCTTGAATCACCTTGCTTGCTTGAGCCAGGCAAGGAGGAGGAGCAGGAGCAGGAAGGAGGGGGAGAAAGAAAGACCAGTGCAAACCCAAGACTCATCAAAGGTATTGGGACGCACCCTCCCTCCAAACTCCCTTTGCGCGGCGCTAAGGCGAGATCCACATGTTCAAACCACACGCCCTCAATTCGCATAACTCTTGCAACTGTGTAAGTGTGCGCGGCGCTGAGGTGAGAGCCACATTTTGAAAGCGACCCGCCCTCCATCTGTGAAGCGTTTGTCAGCTTCTAAGCTTCAAACTCTTAAACCGAAAAGAAATATCAAGCGAACTACCCGGCCCGCCCTTCCGACCGGCCTCGGGGTGCGACCAGGAACAGCTGTACATGAGACACAGGAATGGAGGAGGAAAGAGAAAGGAGGGGGAGGCAGGCAGAGTAAGGAGGAGGACCAGAAGGAGTAAAGAGGGAGGGGGAGGCAGGGAGGGGGAGGAGGAGACGGAGGAGGACGGAGATTGCCGGACGTCAGGCGGAGGCGCAACGCGCGCCCCAGCTGCCAACCCGCCAGAGACAGCAGGCGCGGTGCCCTCGGGCTCTCGGGGGCCCGCGGGGGCGGCGGCGCCGCCCCGCTCGGCGAGGGCCCCCGCGCGCCCCCGCAGCTCCCGCGGGGCGTGAGGGCCACGAGCGGCGCACAGGTCCGCACCCGCGCCATCGCGGTCTGCATTCCGGGGCGCGATCCCCGCGGATACGCGGTCTCGCGGATACGCTCCGCGCGGGGCCTCCGCGAAACAACGGCCCGTGTATGACCGGCCCGCGAGGCCGCGGGTACGGATATGTGTGTTCGACCATGAGAGCGGGTGCGGCGAAGGGCGAGAGGCGAGACGAGGCCAGGACGACGGCAAAATCGGGTGAGGCGAGATCGAGAGGCTCTGAGGTCCTTCGGCGGCTCTGGAGGAGGCATCCGGCGGCGCGGCCTTCCCAGAGCGTTCCGAGACGGTCTGCGAACGGTCCGGAACGCTCCGAAACGGAGCTCTCCTCGTCCTGGCCCCGTCCGAAAAGGGCCCCCGTCGACGGGGGGCCACGGGCGGAGAACGTATCCATATCCGCGCCCTCACGGTCTCTCCGGGGCGCGATCCCACGCATACGCGGCCGCGCGGGAACGTTTCGCGCGGGGCCTCCGTGACTTCAAAAACGCCCCGTTGCCGCGGGTGGGGGATCTCCTGACCCGGGTCAAGCCAGGCCCGTGCCACTCGGGCCTCGCAGGTTCCTGCAAGATCCGACAAGATCCGGCAGGATCCTGCAAGACCCAGCGCCCCAGCTGACGCCCGTTGGCACTGCCCCCCGTCTCGGGGAGCCCCGAGCGGGGCCGCGGCCCAGGGCCCCGGCCCGCGAGGCCGCGGATGCGGAGATGCCCTGCGCCCGAGCAGCGGGGGGTGCGGCCGAGGGCCGGGGGGGGGGGCCCTCGTCGAGGGGGGGGGCCGCGGGCTGCGGCGCCTCGCCCGGGGAAAACCCTCCGCCGCGCCTCCTCGGGAGGGCCCCCGGAGGCCTCCCAGATGGGGTCGGAGGATCGCGCCGCACCGCCGACGCATCGGCGATACATCGCCGATGCATCGGCGACGCATCGGCGACACCGGCGATGCATCGGCGACGTCTGCGTGGAATAATCGAGCTCCATCAAGCCGCATCGCCGATCCATCGGCGATTCGGCGCGATCCTCCGCCCCCATCTACTCGGACCCCATCTGGGAGGCCTAAGAGTCGGGGCGTCGCGATTATTCTTCGAGCTGGGCGTTCTCGCATGATTCTGGGCCCCGGGACCCTCACAGGTCGATCCGGCTCAGGAAATGATTGGGCAGAGCTTTCTGGAAGGGCGGAGCAACGTGGACCTTCTTTCGTGCCTCCTTTGGGCCCCCAGGGTCCAAAGGGCACAGAGGGTAAACCTTTCTTCACCCCCCATCGCCCCCTCATTACGCCACGCCCGAAATGCAACAGAAGCATGGGGCCTGGGGCTCTGGCCATGACCGTTCGCGATGTATTCGCTCCGCGTCGTCCCGTCTCGGGGGGGGGCCCTCCGCGCACCTGGCACTCGGGCTGTCCGGCGATGCGGGCCTCAGCCGGCCGGCGAACGGCCAGGCCAAGCCCCGAGAGCACGTGCGGCGGGTTCTCGCGTCGTGATGACTGAGGTCTGTGCGAGCATCGAGGATCGATGGAAGGACGAATATGCAGGACTGGTCAACGGCCGAACTTCGCGGATCGGTCGGAGAGCGAACATTCACAGGGGGCGCTTGCCTCGTAAAGTGCCGACCCGCTTGATCAAAGGGGTGGTAGCGCTGCCCCCGGAACGGCCTGCGTGTCGTCACGACGCAGGCGTTGGTGCCGGATACCGCGTGAATCCTTCAGCCTTGGACGATCGGCGGCTTTTCGATCCCGAGATCGGCCCACACGGGCCGACCCTGGACCATCAGCGGCGCTCAACCTCGAACGCCCGCGGCGGGATCGCAGCAGCCGCGTCGGCACGACACGAGCCTGCCGTACAATTAGCGCGTCACGTAAGAAATTGGCCTGTCAGCAGGTGCCCAACGGGTCTGTTCCTCGCCCCCCCACGGCCCCATGGACCCACAGACGCTCTTGGGCAACTCGGGACCCTCAACGCTCGAAGGATGCGCCCCAAGATTCCTGATAGCGATATTCCTCTCCGTATTTGGTCGATTCCGTAAACCCTGAACCCAACAATGTTGTCATCTCTTGGATGCGATGTTTTACTTCCGCCGCCTTCCGCCTGCCTTCCGCCGGCGGAGGCGGCCTCGTTTTACTTCCGCCGACCGTCTGCCACCTTTCCGCCGCCTTCCGCCGAGGAAGAGATGGCAACTCCTTCGATCCTCGAAGGCGAGGCCGTTTCTGGAACGCCTCATGTGACTTCCGTGCTCCACGGGGTCCTCAAGCAGGACGGTTCGCCACCTGTACCCCCCCCCCTCTTTGGCGGGGCAGGCCCCGAAGGCCGCGGGCCACCAAGAGCAGGCGCTTCCGTCATGGTCGGGCGCCCGATGTTTGCGCAGGCAGGCAGGTGCTTCGGGTATCGGGCTGCGTGCCAAAGGCACCAGCGCGGGGGCGAAGGCTTCGGGCAAGAGCCACGGGCACCAGGGCGCGGTCGATGAGGTAGTGGCCTTGAGCAGCAGCAGGTGGCAGGTCACGACTGAGATATGGTGCAGAGCTTCCAGCAGCGGACCCCGATCAAGCTGACAGCCACGGTCTTCAGACACCAGGCCGCGATCCAGAAGCTGGCACGCACAACGTTTCAGTCATGAGGTACCAGCCGAAGTGGTGATAGCCAAAAGCTCCATGCCCCAGGCCGAGACGGTGGCGATACAGTCCAACGCATCAGGCACCATGGCATGTCAGGAGGAGGGGGAGAGGGGATGGGGGAAGAGTGGGGGGGCAAGCTCGGTGCGCTCGCGTCATATATGGCGTCCACCCCTCCCTTCCATCTCTGACCATGGTGTAGATATCATCTGTATTCGCATAGTCAGATGTCGAGCAGGGCAATGATCGCGAGAGGGTACGCGATGCATGGTAGAGCACGGCATGGCATGGCGTAAAAGAGCGCGGCAGAGCGTAGTATGCCATAGCATGGCGTGGCATTGCGCAAGGAGGCATTGCATCACAAAGCATTGCAGCGCAAAGCATGGCATCGCACAGCGGCGCAGAACGCAACACCGCACAGCATGTCGTGGCATGGCGCCAGGTTCCTCGGAGGGTAGGGGGTCGTCTTCGAGAGGTCTGGGCTGGTCTGGAATCGTGGCTCCACGTCCAGCTCCTTGGGCTCCCCGAAGAGCTCCACGCGAGGCGGGGCTGATGGAGGGCACCCGCTGGCTCTGCTTTCAACATCGCCCTCTCAAAGCAGAAACGGGGCCCCCGCTGGATACGGCCTGAAAACGACGACGCCCCCAAATGGGGGGGGGGGCTCCTGCGGCCCAACAAATCATCGAATCGACACCGAATATGGAATCACTTCTGGTGGATTTTTCGGGAGGCTCATTTGGAAGGAAGTCCAGCGCTGCAGTGGGAGCGAGGCGAGGCGAGGCGAGGCGACTCCCAGTTTGCCCGTGAGGGCGGCCGCGCGCGGGGCTGGGAGTGGGCGCCCGGGCGCCGCTCATGCAGTCGAGGGTAAATATGTCTCTATGTGTACGGTGCACATAACCGTCCTCCTATTGTGACCACAAGTTGCTGTCCGACGCAGTTGTTTGCCAATTCTCCCCACGTGTTGTGCGTTGTGCGAACGAATTCTGGCACATCATCGATCCATCTCTTGTGAGGTCGTTGTGGAAACGAGCAGTGCTGTGGGAACACGATTCGGAACGAGCGGAAGCGCGGAAATGAGGCCAACGCTGCAACGGGAGCATGATTCGGAACGAGCGGAAGCCTGAAAATGAGGCCAGCGCTTCTGCGGGAGCAACCAAGCGAAAACCCAATTCCCAAGAATCCAGTGTAAAAAACAATACGCGGAGGGGGGCCGGATACCTTCCGGATGTCATCAGAGGATAGAGGAGAGTAGTATTCATTGTGTAATTCTGAAAGAGGAGGAGGAGGAGGAGGAGGAGACTGGAATGATGACGAGGAAGGGGATGACACTAGGGGAGGGAGGGAGGTGGGATGCGAGAAGGGAATTAGGGGGGGATGAGGAGCGGGAGGAGGAAGGAGGACCTCGGAGGCGGACGGGCACATGTGTCAGGCGTGGCAGAGCGAGAAGAACGACGCCCCAGGAACTCTCGACCCGTTCCCAAGGATTGGGCGATCACCCTGGATACCTCCTGAGGCCACGATGGGAAAACGAGATGGGGTGGCTTCTGAGGCCCTTGAAACAAAAGGCCGCAAGAGGCCGAGATGGAGAAAGAGCGTCGACGGGCTGAGGTCGAGATGGGGTGTCGCCATTACATGGAGGGCGTCGGAAGTCCAGGAGGACGACCACGACGAAGAGGACGACGAGGGGAACGACGAGGAGAACGACGACGACGACGATGACGACGACGACGACGACGAGAAAGACAACGACGACGACGACGACGACGACGACGACGACGGCGGAGCCTCCAGACCCTGGACGCGCTCGGCGCGCTCGGCGTCCAAGGCCTCTCGCGCTGTGCGCGCGCGGGCGGAGCGGACCCCCGTCGTCGTCGTCGTCGTCGTCGTCGTCGTCGTCGTCGTCGTCGTCGTCGTCGTCGTCGTAGTCGTCGTCGTCGTCGTCGTCGCCGCCGCCGCCGCCGCCACCGCTGCCGCCGTCGAGGTCGCCGTACACGGCGTCGAGGACGTCGCCGACGTCGTCAAGTTGTCGTGCTACCTTAGACAAGGCATTGAATGAGGAACGGCGAGTCTGGCCACGGCGAACCTTGGTCAAACATAGGATGCCTGACCCAGGTCTAAGGACCGTCCAAAAACCAGAGCCCTTCCTAAACCAAACTTGTCTTTGTCTCCACGGCTTGACTCTAGCGGTCGATATCGTCGCGAGACGCCGTCGCCGACGCGGCGACATCGTCGTCGGCGATGGCGACTGCGAATGGTGATGAGGAGGACCAGGATCGTCCTCCGCTCCCACTCCTCCCGCTGGCGCTCCTTAATGCGCTCTGCTTTAACCTCCTCGCCTGCCCCCCCCTCCCCCCCCCAGGCTGCACTCCTCCTCCTCCTCCTCCTCCTCCTCCTCCTCCTCCTCCTCCTCTCCTCATCCTAACGCACCCCCACCCTAGAATGTGTGATTTGGTCGGGGAAGAAGTCCTCCTCTGGCTGCTATTCTTGCGATCCCCACTGGGCCGTCTGGGGCCTCGCGCTGCGGAGCGCGGTGGAGGAGAGGAGGGGAGGGGAGGGAGGGGAAGGGGGGGACTCAGAGACCTCTGGCGGTCGCCCTGGAGAGGCTTGCTGGCGTCTTCGGCAATATGGGCGCAGTGCCTGGTTCCCTGGACAATCAACAGCTATAGAGGATGAAAGGGGAACGCGTCAAGACCTCCAGAGGGCTGGCGCTTCGAGAAAAATGGAGTCGATATAGTTCGGGGGAGGAGGGACCAGTTTTTCGTAGCCAGCGGCTGCCAATAATGCTCCAGGGATGAGGGAAGAGGAGGAATAAGAGGATCGAAGGAATGGTCAAGAGAACGACGACAACGACAGCGGACGATGGACGGCAATCAACGCACCACAAATGACGGACGACGGCGGCCACGGTGGCGACGGCGACAACAAGACCGACGACAACCGAGGAGGGACGACAGAGCACGGAGAACGGAAGACGGGCAACACGACGAAGGGGATGGCGGCGACGGCGACCGACGACCGACCACGCTGGACGACCGACGGCGGCGACGGCATCACGCTGGCATGGGCCGCAGGCAGATCCGTGGACCTGCCACGCTGGCGCGGGCGAGGCCAGCGCGGCCCGCTCGCATGGGAGCGGGACGCGTCGCCCATCCACGCGCCGTGCCCAAAACTCCGACGTCGTATTTTTCCACAGCGTTAGTCCTCCTCCTCCTCCTCCTCCTCCTCCTCCTCCTCCTTGAAGCGTCAACTCCGAGGCTTCAAGGCTATTCGTCCTGGCTGTTTTTTGACGGCCCCTGGGCCCAGCCAGGGTTCCAGGAGGCCGAGAATGGCAACACACACCTCCCCCCCGAATGGCTTCACAGCGCGACGAGGTGGGGCCACTCCATGCTTGCGCTCCCTCCAGCGACGAGGCGCCGCCGGCGGCGACGCTGCGGCGCCGGCTCGCGCGCGCAGCGCACGCAATGCGCGCGCGCGCCTCGCGCAGCCCAGCGCCCGACTGACGAGCGACCGGACGACGACCGACGGACCGACCGACGGACCGACCGGCGGACCCACGCGACGACGACCGACCGACGCGCGGCGGCGGCGCCGAGGCCGCGACGAGCCCTCGGCGGCAGCGTCGCGGCAGCAGCGCCTCGCGCAGCCCAGCGCCCGAGGCCAGCAGCCCCGCGCGTGCGGCCTCCGCCTCCCCAGCGCCGCGGGCGTGCGCGGCGCGCAGGCCCTCCTCGGGCGTTGGCGCCGGCGCGGCGCGCGGGGCCCTCGGGCGGCCCCTCAGCTCTCGGACATCGAGCCAGGGGCCTTTCCTCGTCTTTGGCCCTTATCCGCCACCGTGCCTCTGGGCACGGGGTGGGCTGGTCCTCGGGTCCTTTGCCCCATCCTCTGGGCCTCAGTCCTCAGTCCTCAAGGGTCTGGTCTCTTAGGGGCCCGCACCCCGAATTCTCACACATCTACCGGGGCTTGTCGTGTGCCCTCTGGGCTCCCCCGCGTGGTGGCGCAGAATTGTTTGGGCCCAAGAAGGCCCCAAAGACGGGCCAAGACGGTCCCAAGAGGCTCCCAAGACGGTCAAAGAGGGATCTGAGTCGCTGAAAGATTGCCCAAGACGCGCAGCATGGCCTCCAGACGGCCTCAGAGCCTCCAACGCACCCCAAGACGCCTCGAAGATGGCCTCCCAAGAAGACCTCAAGAGGCCAAAATCATTGATTCGCCTTATGTTTCGACGTTTTGTTTGAGTTCTCGCCGTTTCGGCTTCCCGACGCTCCCAGACCAAGTTCGGACAAGTTCACACTTGCTCACGTTTCGGCCAAGTTTCGACCAAATCCACACTTGCTTAAACTTTATCCCTGTCTTAGACTTGCTTACACATTCTCATAACTTTACCACTTCTCCAACATACACATGTGCTTGCCATACAGAACTCGATTCATTCGGGGTACTCGTGTCTCTCGCCACCCGCGTGAAAATACTTGCGGAAAAACACCCGATGGGTACTCCAATAAAAAGTGTGCTCAAGCAGGCCAGGACGGGGAACAGCCCACCACAAGAGCCACAGCCTACGGCACAGGATCCTGGAGCACTAGCAGCACGACAACAACAATTTCAGGAATACATGGAGGCTGCAGCGGACCAGCCCCTGACCGCCAAGGGGCTCGAGACGATCTTGAATCACCACCTGGACCCCATCAAGCAAGACATACCACGGGAGCGCTTCCCCCCATACCACCGGCGCCACCCCATGCAACGAGAGTGCACTACGTTCATTCTCCTCCTCCCTCCTCCGTTCAATCCTTCTCCATAACACAAGTCCGCCGTCGCACCCCGAGACTGGTCGGTGTAGGGCTGGCCAGGATTTCGCTGAGACTTCCTCACCGCTTATGATCCTGAAGCTTGATAGTTCCAATAGCTTCACGGATGGAGGGAGGGCCATTTTCAAAATGAGGCTGTCGCTTTAGCGCAGCGAACATTTGTTCAAGCTTGCAAGAATTTCACGGATGGAGGGCGGGTGGCTTTCAAAATGTAGCTCTCACCCTATCGCCGCGCATTCTTCTTAAAAGTGTGCAGAAGTGCGCAAGGGTTTCACGGATGGCGGGCGGGTCATTTTCAGAATGAGGCTCTCGCCTAGAGCCGCGCATGTTCGCCTTCAAAGCTTGCAAGAGCTTCACGGATGGAGGGCGGTTCCTTTTCAAAATGTAGGTATCGTCTTTTCGCCGCGCACATTCACCTCACCAATTTACAACGGTGTCAAGGTTTCCTTTGGTTGGCGTGCCAATGATTATTGTGCTCTGGCGCGGCTTAGGATTGTCTGGGCGCGACTGCATTTGCGGTGTCGGCGTCCCAGAAATGTTGCTTTGGCACGATTTAGGATCCTCAGGTCATAAGAGTGACGTTGATTCGCGGCGTCGAAGTCCAAGGAATGGTGCCTTGGCGCAGTTGAAGATCTTGAGACGGTTGTCTTCCAACGGGGCTGTCCTCGCAGTGTCGTTAGATCACTATAGGAGCCTATGAAGAGGGAACTCGGATTGAGGGTTTATAGAAACATCGTTGATGGGTCTTGGGTCTACACCACTGGTCCTCCCTCCTCCTCCTCCTCCTCCTCCTCCTCCTCCCGACTCCATTCTCATCACGACTGCTCCTCCTCCTCCTCCTCATCATCATCACCATCATCATCATCATCATCATCAGCAGCATCAGCATCATCATCATCATCATCATCATCATCATCATCACCACCACCACCACCATCATCATCATCATCATCATCACCACCACCACCACCATCATCATCATCATCATCATCAGCATCATCATCATCATCATCATCAGCATCATCATCATAATCATCATCATTATCATCAACATCATCCTCCCTCCATTATCCTCCCTGGGATCCTGGCGTCGCAAGTGTCTCAGTCTCGGCAATTTCGCCCTATGTCGGCCCTGGGGACCTCTACTGCGGATTGGTTCGGCGCGCAGCCCCTCCTGGTGGCCCGTCACCCCAGACGTTCCCGGAGTGAGAGCATGAAACCACAAGACGCCGCTCAGACAGGCCAGACCTAGACCTACCAGGACTGACTGCAACCTCGACGCGAAGTAGAGCTCAAACCTCCTGGCGTTACTTGTCGTTAAAGGCTTAACGACTTCTGCCGTCCTTCGACTCGCGCTGGAGCGGCCGCGAAGTGCTCGAACTTTCCCTGGAGATCTCTGGATTTACCTGGATTTACCCAGATTTATCTAGATTTACCTGGATTGACCTCGATTTATCTGCATTTACCTGGGTTTATCTGGCTCGATTCTCAGAAGTTGATTGGCGAAAAGTCGACAAGCCCTAAGGGAACTTGCTCGCCCTCCTGGCAGGTCAGACCAGGCCCGGGGGCGGGTGGGGGGGGCGGCCGAGGGGCCGGCACGTCCGCGGCCTCCCGGCGGAGGGCCGGTCGAGACCACGGCGGGCCTCCGCTGGCGCTCTCCGTCCTCCGCGGGCGCTCTCCGCGGGGTCTTCTCGTCCCCGCGGCTCGGCCCGCCGCGGACGACGGGTCAGGAGGAGGAGGAGGAGGAGGAGGAGGAGGAGGAGGAGGAGGAGGAGGAGGAGGAGGAGCAGGGAGGGAGGGGGCGATCTGGAGCAGATTGGAGGGGCCCCAGGACACACAAATGAATACACACAAATAAAAAGATGCCCCACATTTTCCCATATTTTTTCTGGGGTTCTGTCTTCCCCCCCACTTCCCATATTTTCCTATATTTTCTGGGGATCGACGAATAATTGTGTCTGTGTGGTTCTTCCCCTCCTGACAGATCTGAGCCCAGCGGGAGAGCAGCTGGACTCGCCCCGAAGATCCCGACAGGGAGCGCCGCGGGGCATCGCGCGCACGCGGACGTGGACCACGGATCCGTGGATCCGGCGCATGGGCGCCAGATGCACGGACTGGGGACGGCACTCCCGAAACACGAAGCCGGTGCAGCCTGATTTCGCGATGGAGCGCGCCGACTCCGCATGGAAGCGTGACCCGCCGCCAATCCACGCGCCTCAATCCCTCTCTGCGCTTCCTCGGGGTTGGGTCATCCTTCGTGGGGACCTCTGTGGACCTCCGAGGCCCTATCACAAACGTGATTTCGACTGGATTTCATCCAGATTTCGACCACCCCTCTTCACCCTTTCGTCCAGAATTCGTCCGGATATCGTCCAAAATTTTGTTCAAATGTCGACCCAATCCAGCGAAAACTGGACGAACTCCCCCAAACCGCGAGGAATCTTGGGACCGCCTGAAGCTCCTACGGACGATCATACAGTCGAGCAGAGGACAAAGGGAACCGCGGCCCCCCCAGGTTCGGGCTGCCCCAAACGCACGGCGCCACGCGCCGGCGGCGACAGTGGACGGCGGCGGCAGGGGACGGACGACAAGCGAGGGCGGTGGACGAGCACGAGGGAGACGGCCACGGCCACGGCGGCGGCTGCGATGGGGACGGTTGCCGCGGCGGCGCCGATCGTCATCGCCGTGGTGGTGGCCAAGGTAGCCGTCGTCGCCGCCACCGCCGTCGCCGTCGCCGTCGTCGCCGGAGAGGGGCGAAGCTCCGAGCCCGGCCCCACGACGGCGGCGGCGGCGACGAACGTGGTGGCGTCGTCGTCTACGAAGTATCTCGTCGTAAAGTCAACCCGCATAGTAAGTATGCGCGGGAAGAATGCGAGCTCGAATAGGGCTGGCCAGCGAACGTTGCCAGGCATGGGCCGAAGGGGCAATGAGGCAAGGCTAACCCTGGAAAGCTGCTCGTCCTTACTGTGCGGGCTGACTGTAGTCGCAGTCGTCGTCGGAGTCGCTGTCGTCGTGCGCGAGCGAGCGCGACTCGCTGCGAGGAAGCGCGGGCGGAAGAAGAGGCTTGGAGGAGGGGGAGGATGAGGATGAGGATGAGGATGAGGATGAGGATGAGGCGGAGGAGGAGGAGGAGGAGGAGGAGGAGGAGGAGGAGGAGGAGGGAGGGGAGGAGGAGGAGGAGGAGGAGGAGGAGGAGGAGGAGGAGGGAGGATGGGGAGGAGGCGGAGGAGGAGGCGGAGGAGGAGGAGGCCGGAGGAGGAGGAGGATGAGGAGGAGGAGGAGGAGGAGGAGGAGGAGGAGGAGGAGGAGGAGGAGTCGCTGCCATCTCGATCATCGTCTGGCGGCCGTTCCTCCGCCGCGCCTGCGCGAGGCGGGGCGCGCGGCTACCTCCACGCCCCCGCGTCGCTGCCCAGGAGAGGGGCGGCGCTGCGGCTTTAAGGCCGCAGCGCGCGAAGGGCGACGAGCCTCGCACCCCGCAGGCGACCTCGAGCTGCCCTGGCCAGGGAGGCGTCGGACTCGGGTCGGAGCCCTCGGGCTGGCCCGACGGGTCCGTCGTGAAAAGTACGAGACCCAATATGAAATCTGAGACGCGAGCTCCCGCTGCAGACGCCCCACGAAAAACTGCGCCGTCAAAATCCAGAGGCGGTCCGCGGAGGCCGAGGCGGAGCAGGAGGGGAGACGAAGACGACGACGACGGCGGAGCAGGAGGGAGGAGGAGGAGGAGGAAGGAGGAAGGAGGAGGAGGAGGAGGAGCAGGAGGAGGAGGAGCTGGAGGAGCAGGAGGAGGGAGGAGGACGAGGAGGAGGCGGGGGAGGAGGAGGAGGAGGAGGCCGAGGAGGAACACCCCTGCGCCGGCACCACCGTCAGCGCCTACAACGCGCTCGTCAGAAAGCGTCGGCAAACCCGAGCTCTGGTGCACTCGAGTCTTCCGTCTCCCCGACCCCGGGGGCCCGCGGGCGGCAGCCGACTCCCTCGGGGGGGGGCCCGCCTCCCCGACCTGGTGCGCGCGGGGAGCACGAGGGCTCCCTCCCCCGCTCCGGCAGCGAGGGTGGGCCTCGCCAGGGCCCGGTGGTGGCGTGCCTTGGGCCTCCGACGGCGCCCGAGCCGCGCCAGGATCAGGGGGACGTAAGACCCGGGTACGGGGGACTCGGAAATCCCCGACGAGGTCGTCAAAAAAATGACGAGGCCGAGCCTACATTCTGACGAGGCCTCCCGCTGCAGACATCCCACGAAACTCCTACTCGTCAAAATCCGAGTCGCGGTCGTCAAAAAAAAATGGCGAATCCGAGTCCTGGCAAACCTGGGTCTTACGCTCCCCCGACAGGAGTGGCAGCACGCCAGGGTCGCGTCGCGACGACCTTGTCGTTGGCTTCTGACACCGCGTGCAGCGTTCAACCTTGAATCATCGGCGTCCCTGCGATCGCCAGATCGCTCCGAGTGATCCTTTTGGTGTGAATTCACATGATACGAATGTGGCCGATCCTGGGCCACTGGTGGCGTTCAACTATGAACGCCCGCTCTGGGGTCGCTGTCGCGTCGGCACGACACGAACCTACCGCAGGCAGGCCCAGCCCTGGGTCCTGCAAGAGTAACCCTTCGGCAAGAGTGACTTTTGGTGCGCGGCTTCAGGGGGCCGCGGGCTGCGGGAGGGAGGGGGGGGGGGGGGGGGGGCAAATCCAAGCGGGCAAGCCAGTGCCGGGGGGGGGACCCCCTTGGGCCCGCAATCAAGGTCACTTCGGCGAAGGGTCGCTCTTCCGCGCAACCGAGACGACGCCCTGCGGCATGTTTGTGTCGTTGGTTTCTGACACCGAGGGTATCGTTAAACCTGGAGCGATCGGCCGATTCCGAAACGTCAGATCGTTCAACATCGACCGATTCCGGGTCGCTGGCGGCGTTCCACGTTGAACGCCGGCGGCGGGGTCGCCGCCGCGTCGACACGACGAGGATCTACCGCAGCAATCTTCCCCCATTCACCAGAGCCCATGGAATGGCAAGCCACCTAACCTTGCAAATCGCGCCCTGCGATGCGCGACGCGCGCTTATCTCGGCGACATCGCGAGGTCGCCCTGGAGAAAGGCAGCCGTCCGAGTGCGGCCGCGACGCGCGAAGCGCGACGCGAAGCTGGTGGCAGCCGGCAGGCCTGGCCCCGGGTCCTGCAGCTGGCGAACCGCCGCCTGGAGCTCCTCCTGGCCCTGCGAGGCGCCCGCCTTCGAGTAGGGGATCGACTACATAAATAATTTACCCCAGAATTGTTTCTTTCGCCGAAGCTATGGAAATTACGTAGAATGGTTGTCGAATCTCCGGAAATGCGATGTACTTTGAGTAGATTCGACGAAAACAAATCTGGGTCAAATCAATTCTGTGGACGATCCCCTACTCGACCCCTGCACCTGCTGCGCCCGCTCCACGCGCCCAAGCTCCTCGGCCTGCGCGGCCACCGCGCCCTTCAGGCGCTGCAGCTCCACCTGGAGCGCCGACAGCAGCTCGTGGCTCGGGCCCTTGGCGATCGCGGCCAGCTCGTGCCGCAGTGACGCCTGCTGTGCCGCCAGGTCGTCCCGCAGCCGCGCCGAGCGGTCGCTCTCGGAGCGGATAGCGGCCGACACCTCGTCCACCTGGCGCCTCCGCTCCAACCTCTCAGCCTCCAGGATGCCCTCCACCTTGGACTCCAGTTGCTGCCACCCCGCGGGCGCGCCGGGGCCGTCGTCGTCAGCGCAGCCAGCTTTGAGCACCTCCACCTCTCTGCGCACAGCGGTGAGCTCCCGCGACAGCTGCGCCTGCAGCCCGTCGAGGTGCCTCGACACGGTGCCCTCGAGGTCGTTGAACATGGCGTCGAGCTGCCGCAGCTGCTTCTCCACGTCCAGCTTGGGCGCCCGGCTGCTCTGGGCCCGGAGGAGGTCCAGGCTGCTCGCGTGGCTCTCCTGCGTGGCCCGCAGGGACTCCACCGAGGCCTGCAGCGCGGCCACCGCCTCCCGCAGCTGGTCGCCCGCCGCCTCCGCGGTGAGCGACCAACTGCGGCAGCTGCCGCCGCCGCTCCCGGGGCCGTCGCGCTCGGCGAGGGCCTCCGGCAGCCGGTGCTCCAGCTGCCCCAGCCTGGCGGGGAGGCTCCGCAGCTCCTCCAGCTCCGCGTCGATGCGGGCCGCGTGCGACTGGTTGACGGTGGCGACCTGGAGGACCTGGTTCACCTTGCGCACGAGGACGGACTCCAGGTCCTGCTTCGGCACGGAGGGAGCGGGGGAAACGGGTCCTGGACCCCAGGGGCTTTCCCTGGGGCCAGCTTGTCACGCCTGAGCAGTTTGTTTGACAGCCCAGGGGCCTGGTGAGGCTCCCCAGCGGCAGAATCACATGGCAAAAACCATCTTAGTACCCGTTCCTCTCAGGACCCGTTTTGGCTGCATTGCGATGTCCTGGTTCTGGAGCGCGAACAGCTCCTCGATGCGGCTGGCCGTGCCGCTCCTCTCCAGCTCCAGGCGCTCCTCTCGGCTACACGCAGGAGTGACCCCAGGCAAGAGTGAGTTTGGCGCCCAACCTGCCGATCGTTGCATGCGATGCGCCAGCAGCTCCCTGTGTGCTTGGGTAATCTCTGGCCCGATGTCAGGCGGGAAGCATCGAGCTTGACTCGGCGGTACATCGCCGATAGATGGGCGATAGGCCCTCGATAGCGAATCCGCACGCGCCTAGGCGGGGCGGGCCATCAGGCCTCTGCTGGCGATGAGTGGGCGATCCGGGGTCGAGGCGGCCCCCTCTGAGCGCATCCCCCCTCCCGACGTTGCCCCTGAGCTCCTCCAGCTGCTGCAGGCTCAGCGCGGCGGGCCCCGTGTCACGCGCCGCAGCGCTGGCCTGGCGCGGCAGCGCCGCCGCGCTCGCCTGCCGCAGTAGCCCTGCTGCGCTCGCCGCGTACGTGGTGTGCGGCACGGCGCGCGGCTGCGGAAAGCTCGGCGCGGGCCCGCCGAGCACCTCCACGCGGCGCCCCGGCGGCTTCGGCGAGGACACGCCCGCGACCGAGGCGCTGCCGGCGAGCAGGGGCCCCGGCGCCGCCTGCTGCTGGGGCGCGCCGCCTGGGCACACGGCCACCAGCCCGCGCCCCACCTGGAGAGAGGGGCCAAGGGCTGCAGAAGCCAGACCTTTCGGAACTCCGCGCGGAGCTCCAAGAGCTCATGTCTACTAGACGGCAGGTTCGTGCTGTGACGACTTCGGCGTTGGTTTCTGACATTGCGGGGATCGCTCAACCTTGAACGATCGGGCGTTTCCGAACTGTCAGATCACTCAACACCAACCAATTCTCGGTCGCAGCGGCGCTTAGCTGTGAACACCCGCGGCGGGGTCGCCGCTGCGTCGACACGACGCGAACCTACCGTACCGTGAGATCCACCCGGCGACCCACCCCACATCGCTCTGACGAAAAAAATGCAATATGCAACTCCCCCGCTGAAAAAAGCCTGCGGCGGGCTTCTTCAGAGCCTCGCGGACAGCCGACGACCCAGCCGCCAACTCACTCTCAGTCGCAACTGCGGTGTGCTGCGTATCGTTCCTTTTCCCGTCGACCACCAACGGATGCCCACCAAGCGCCAGGGGGGAGGGGTGCCGCGGCGAGGCGTGGCCCAGGAGGCCCTGTGAGCTGGCCGCCATGTGCGGCCCCGCGGCGAACCCCCCTGAACCAGCAATCGCGGTGCGCGGTGCGCGGGCCCAAAGAGACACGGGGCGGGCTGGCACCGGGTCCCCGCAGCGGGGGCTGGAGCAGGAGGAGGCGCGGGCGCATGCTGCGACAGATGACTGGAGCCAGCTGGGGGTTTTGGTCCTGGCGAGCTGGAAGCGGGGAGGAGGCTCGAGGTTCTGGGTTCGGGAAGGTCTTTGCCTGCTTCTGCCTCCAGAGGCCGTTCTCTCGGGAGCGGCCAAGAGGGGGGTGTCCAAGAGGGGGGGGTGCAAATTATGACCGGCGGCATGTGCGCGGCCCAGCGGGGGGACCAGGGACGTAATGAAATAAGAAGAGGCGCCATGAAATCTGGGGAAATATCATGGCCCCCGCCATGATATCCACCCCCACCTAGTCATCACCCCCCTCTTTTCCGCCCCCGACTCTCGGGGCCCAGGAGCATCGGGAGGGGTCCGGGGCCAGGCGGACCCCCCCGGTGGTCTGCGCAGGCCGCGGCCCCTGGTGGTCTGCGCAGTTTATCTATAGGAAATATGAAAACTTATCTTCCATCATTAAGATAAAGAAAAACTATAAATTTATAATTGTATTTTCTAACACTATATTCTTAATCTCTATTCTTTTTTGGAGTTTATCCGCAGGATCATTACTTGGAAATTCTTAAACCTAAATTCTTACCTTTAAAAACTGGATCCCCCCGGCGGACGGCGTGTAGCGCGGTGGTCTGCGCAGGCCGCCCGCGCGGCAGGCCACCTCGGAAGCCTGCGGGCACCCGCCAGCGCGGCCTTCCGCGGGCAGCCTGCGCGCCAGTGCGGGGGGCAGCCTGCGCGCCACTTGCTCTGCGTCGCCCCGATTGGGCCTGTGCTCCTCGGCCAGAGCTCTCCGCCCTCGCTCCCCCGGGGGCGCCCCGGGCGGACCCCGCCGGCCTCCCTCGCGGCACCCTGCCCGACCTGGCTCCGCTGCCCCCGCCTCTGCCTGCAGTCAACCCGTACAGCAAGGATGCGCGAGATGGATGCTCTTCGGGCCCTGGGCGCCCACTTCGAGGCTCTTCGGGCGGGGCGCGGCCAACGAAAGTCGCCAAGGATGGACCGATGAGGCAAGGATGCAAGGGTAGCCTGAGGAAGGTTGCTCATCCTTACCATGCGGATTGACTGTGCGCCTCCCCCGGCCCCCACGCCTCGGCCTGCGCGCGGCAACAGACGCTTGACGTCGGCGGCGTCCGAGGAGTCGAGAGCGGGGAGCCCTGGCATCCTCCGAATGTGTGTTTCCAAGCCGCGGCCCCAGATCTCCCGACCATTCCCGAGGGCCAGGTGTTCGCCCCTCTCACTCTTAACTGCCCCGCAGGAAAGGACGGCAAGAAAGAAAACTTAAGGACGTAGAACATCATGTCGCCGGAGCTCCGGGAGCAGAGCTGGGCCGTCACTTCCGCCAGCGCCCGCCTCCGCCCCTTCCAGCAGCACGCCCCGTCTCGACCCCATATCCACCTCCGCCTCTGCCTCCAGCGGCACCTCCGCCTCGGCCTGCCTCCGACTCCACCCCCCAAGGCGAGGGCAGTCCACGAGCAACATTCGAGTAGGACATCGACTACATAATTGACTCACCGCAGACTACCTGGCCCGCCGGATACACGACAAAAAACGTAAGATGCTCGTAGGTCTGCGAGCGTTCTACGAGTTTGTTCGCTGACTCGCCCGAAGAATCCGTTATGGAGTGCCTCAGTCTAGGGCTCCCAACTTCGCGCTTCGCGCTCCGCGAAGCGCGAAACGCGAATAACTTCGCGCTCCCGCGCCGCCCCCCCAAAGGGAGAAAAGGAGGACGAGGAGGAGGGGGAGAAGGAGCGAGGACCGCGAAGCGCGAAGCGCGAATAACTTCGCGCCCTCGTGGGAGCCCTTGCTCAGTCCTGCATCGTGTGCAGCTCGGGGCTCTCCTCCGGGCCCGTGGGCCCGGAGGATCCACGGGGCGCCGCGGCCGCCCTGTGGCGCACCAGCCAGGGCGCTCCGCGAGGGCGCTCCGAGAGGGCTCCCGGAGACGCTCGGCGGCGATGCCCGGGGCCGTCTGTGATGGGCCTGTTTTCCACCACCACCACCAGAAGTCGAAGGGGGGAAGGAGGTGGAGGACGAGGAGGAGGGCAAAGAGGAGGAGGAGGACGAGGAGGAGGATGAGGAGGAGGAGGACCCCCTCCCTCTCCAACTTGTGGTGGTGGTGGTGGAAAACGGGCCCATCAGTCTGGTCTCCGCCTCCACCGCCGCCGGCATCGGTCTTGCCTGGGACGCACATTGGGGCCGTGCGCCCGACCCGAACATGCGGTATGACCATATCGTAGTCCATCGTTTCCCGAGCGGTGTGACCAGAAAGCGTCCGCCACGGGGCCTATGACCTATGCTATACGATTTCTCGGCGCGCGCGTCGCCCCTGGGGGGTGACGCACACATGGTATTAGTATGTCATGGTGCCGCCGATTGCCAGCCCGTTATCCCGGCTGTCCACCTCGATAAGGGGTGCGTCCGAACAGCCCCCTTAGGGTGTATTCCAGGGGCTCCCTCCTTCTCAGAGCGGCTTCCTTTTTCGTCAAAGCGTCGGGGGTGGGGGAGAAAAACCGCCTCCGACCATTCGGAGGCATCCCCCCCCGAAGGCCAGGTGCCGTTGTCTCAACTCGCACTTCTGAGATGAATCCCCAACACTTGGGTCGAGAAATCGCGTGCCCCTTCCTGCTCTGAGCGGCTTCCTTTCTCGTCGACAAGTCGGGGGCCTGGGCAGAAAAATCGCCTGCGCCACGATTTGGCAGGGACCGACCGTCCCGGTCTTCCTGTAGGCATACCACGACATGTTCTTTGAACCTCCACATGTTCTATGAGCAGAAACTCTGTTCTTAGAACATAGCCCCGACGGGTGAAAACATGACTGTCGCAGCCAAACCTGCTCTAAGAACGTTCCATGCAAACCACACAAGGTTCTTAGAACATTATCTGGTGGGCCTACGGGAAAGCCAGGGCGCCTCGTTACTGCTTGGCACGAGGGCCAGCTTCCCAGCATCGGCGGTTGGCAGGGGGCCCCGAAGCCCGAGGACGACGCACAAGAGCAGGACCCCGTGCCCCTCCTCCTCCTCCTTCCCCGCCCCCTCCACCCCCCACATCCACCTCCCACTCCGCCTCCGCCTCCTCCTCCTCCTCCCGCTCCTCCTCCCCTCCTCCTCCTCCTCCTCCTCCTCCTCCTCCTCCTCCTCCTCCTCCTCCTCCTCCTCCTCCTCCTCCTCCTCCTCCCCGTTGTTTGACGCTGCGCAAGCTTAGAGCGGAAGCCTGGGGCGTTCCTGGATGCATGAGAAAAGCGAACGCCGACTTAAGAGCGAAAAACAAATTAGACCTGGCTGGCGCAGCTAACTGGGACAGGCAACACGGGCAGGAAAAGAAGAGGGCCCACAAGGGCTCTGAGCATGCGCCAGCCAGGCGGCATGTGGGGAGGAGAGACCGTGCGAACGAGAACCACCGTCAAAACCGATCCGAGGACGGACCGAAAGGAGACGGACGATCTACACAAGCAACAGTAGGCGGCCTGCCTCGTGACGTCGTCGAAGTGCTGAGGTGAGTGCAGGCGGCCGTAAGCAAAGAGTAGCGCTGCGATGCCTGGAGTGACCCTTTGTACCCCATCCCCTTTGGACCCGTTCTAGTAGGTCTGTCCAGGCTAGCGGTGTCCAGGGTGAACGACGCAACAACGAAAAAACATGTAGAGCAGGCGACGCTAGTGAGGCACAGTAAGACATGTGCTTATTGAATCGCTTCGCTCATTCCGCCGGCCCTTTTCGCACAATGCGTGGTGGTGTGCTCGTGCCCAGGGGGAAGGCGATACGATCTTCGAGGAGACCTGGGCCGGCACAGAAACGGAAAGAGCGCTTCAGAAACAGAAACCGAAATTACTCACACCACCGTTCGTACTGGGAGCCTTGGCGTTGAGAGCTTGTTACGTCACGCCTCGCTCTTGGGAGCATTGGTGTTCAGAGATTGTTGCGTTGCCGCCCGTTCCTGAGCCTTGGCTGTGCCTTGGTGTCAGGAACTTGTTACGTCACCGCTCTCTGCTGGGAGCCTTGGTCTTATCAGCTTGTTTACGTCACCGTTCGCTCTTGGGAGCCTTGGTGTGAAGAGCTTTTTGCGTTACCGATCGCTCTCTATTTGGCGTCTCTGGGCCTTCTTGGGAGTCCTATTGGACCCCGTGTCGGGCCCTTTTCGAGGCCTCTTGGGAACCTCTTGGGGGCCTCTTGGGCCTTCTTGGGGGGCTCTGGGGGCCTCCTGGGAGCTTTTTGGGGCGAAGGGCTAGACTTTTCGGTTCGTGGTCCCCCTCTTGGGGCCGTCTTGGGGCCCTCTTGGGCCGTCTTGGGCGCCTCTTGGGCCGTCTTGGCGCCCTCTTGGGCCGTTTTGGGGCGGTCTTGGGGGCCTCTTGGAGCGTCTTCAACGCAGTGAAAGCCGCAAAGCCTTGTATGCTAAAAATGTACCTTTTCCCATAAGAAATAAATGATTTTCGCCTCCCGGTGGCCTCTTGGGACGCCTCTTGGGGGCCTCTTGGGGCTTCTTGAGGGGCTCTGGGGGCCTCCTGGGAGAGTCTTGGGGCGAAGGGCTAGACTTTTCGGTTCGTGGTCCCCCTCTTGGGGCCGTCTTGGCGCCCTCTTGGGCCGTTTTGAGCGCCTCTTGGGCCGTCTTGGGGCCCTCTTGGGCCGTTTTGGGGGCCTCTTGGGAGCCTCTTGGGCCGTCTTGGGGCGGTCTTGGGGGCCTCTTGGGCCGTCGTCAACGCCGTGAAAGCCGACACAGCGCATATGCTAAGAATATAGGTTTCCTTTGGAAAATCAATGATTTCGGCCTCTTGGGGCCCTCTTGGGACGCCCCTTGGGCGCCTCTTGGGGGCCACTTGGGCCGTCTTGGGCGGTCTTGGGCTCTCTTGGAGCGCTCTTGGGCCGTCTTGGGGGGGAACCCGGGAAACATGCAAAAACCATACGGGAAAACCGAAAACGGCCATTAACACTCAAATGTTTCCCCTACGCCCCCCCCCTACGCCCCCCCTGGACCCCCCCCCTTCTGGAACCCCCCTTAACGTCATCACTCGTACCTGGCTCTTTCCGTTATCTTTGGTAATGTGGCTCGCATCCTGTCGAAGGGAGCCGTTAGACTGCCCCAGAGGGGGCCAAGATGGCTCAAGAGAGCTCTAGAAGAGTTTCGAAACGTACCTGGGTTGTGGGTCAAAGTCCTCATGGATGCTTCTTGGGGTCTGTTCGGAGGGAGACTCTGGGAAGTCTCTTGGGGGCTTCTTGGGGGCCTCTTGGGGCTTCCTGGGGGCCTGTTCGGAGTCTTGGGAGCCTCTTTTGGGGCCTCTTGGGGGCCTCTTGGAGCCTCTTGGGGGGCCTCGCGGGGGCTTCTTGGGGCCTCCTGGGCGCCTCTTGGGGCCGAGGGCTCGAAATGTCCGTTCGGGCTCCCCGTCTTGCCCCTTCTTGGGGCCGTCCTGGGGACATCTTGGGCCGTCTGGGAAGCCTCTTGGGCCGTCTTGGGGCCCTCTTGGGCCCTCTTGGGGTTCTCTTGGAGGCCTCTTGAGGCGATGCGTGGGGCCTCTTGGGCCGTCCTCGAGCGCCGGGAAGCCAAACAGATGAGAACGCCCAACTCCTTCAAACACCGAAGGGACATCTATGGTTGTTGCCTCCTGGAGCCCTCTTGAGACGCTTCTTCGAGGCCTCCTTGTGCGTCTTGGGACCCCCTTCTGGGGCCGTCCTGGGGATATCTTGGGCCGTCTTGGACGCCTCTTGGGCCGTCTTGGGGCCCTCTTGGGCCCTCTTGGGGCTCTCTTGGGGGCCACTTGGGCCGTCCTGCGGCGATACGTGGGGCCTCTTGGGCCGTCTTGGAGCGTCGGGAAGCCGAACAAATGAGAACGCCAAAATCCTTCAAACACCAAAGGGCATCTATGGTTTCTGCCTCCCTGCCTCCTGGAACCCTCTTGTAACGCTTCTTCGAAACCTCTTTGGGCGTCTTGGGAGCCTCTGCGGCCGTCTGGAGGCTATCTTGGGCGTCTTGGACCGATCGGTCGGCGACTCGGAGCCCTCTTGGACCGTCTTGAGAACTCTTGGGGTCCTCTAGGAGCGCTCGGGGTCGCCTGAAAGCCGCGCCCAAAAGGGGGGCGCCTGAAAGCCGCGCCCAAAAGGAAAACCCAGCTCTGAATAGTACCGGCCGGGGTACTTTTCGTCCAGGGACCCCAAGGGGCGTCTTGCGCGCGAAATTGAAAAATTGTTTGCCAGCAGCCGGAGATCTCAGCACGCCTCTGGCTCGTTGGGCCAGCGAATTTCCTCCTCGTTGAAGTTCCTTCAAGTTGCGGAACGTTTGCCTCTAAAAAACACGACGCTCAGGGCAAAACCAAATATTAAAAGATGGTGAGGCGGAAACTCATGCCCACCACGCGGTTGGTGGACGGGTCCTTCCCCTCTCTGGGCAACCTGGGTGTCTTCTCCCAATCTCTGTGGCGGTGGCTCCCAAAGCAGGGACCTCCGAGCAGGCGGAACCGCGAAGTCCCGAAGGCTGCACATTTGGAGCAGCACACCAGGGAAGGGCCCATGAGCCACAGCATAGGGGTCTCGTCGGCCATGCGGGCGGATCTCGGGAGGTCCGGGCATGGCATAGCACGCGCAGCACGCTCTGAGAGGCCACGGGCCCCACGGCGGGTGATGAGGAGGAGGAGGAGGAGGAGGAGGAGGGAGGAGGAGGAGGAGGAGGAGGAGGAGGAGGAGGAGGGAGGAGGAGGAGGAGGAGGAGGAGGAGGAGGAGGAGGAGGAGGAGGAGGACGAGGAAGCGGCCTGCTAGTCGCAACACATGGCCGTGGCGGTCGGGGACGAGCTGCAAGGCGTCAGACGTCAAACGTGCGGGGTCTCTTATAAAGCCGGACGTCTGGAAAAATTAAGAAAGAGAGATGCTTGCCGAGGGCGCAGGTATACGTACAAACCAGTCGCAGCGAGTCGCGGCAATCTTCACGCTTACGCAAAAGGACAGGGTTGGAAATGCGCCTGGGCCCCCCGCTCGGCAAGTTCACCAGCTAAAGTGAAGCCAAACCACGCAGGCAGGGAACCAAGGGCAGCCAGACGGAGGGCCATAAGCAAAACGTACCCCCCCCTCCGCTGCTTTGGAGGGGGTGGGGAAAGGGGCCCAGACGCACTACCGTCTTATCCGCCCACTTCTAACACACTAACTACAGCCGAACCCGCCATGGCCGAGAAATGGTTCCCATGGTCCAAGCCCGACCCTTCCACGCAGAGATGAAGACCCAACAGGCCAGAGGCAGGACGTTGGCTCCAGCGGCGGATCTTGGCCATGGACGGGGGGGGATCGGCCACAGGGTCAGGCATAATAAAGGGAAATTAGGACACACAAATAAGTACACACAAATAAAAATAGTCCCCATATTTTCCCATATTTTCTGGGTTTTTGTCTTCCCCCCCAATTCCCATATTTTCCCATATTTTCCTGGGAATCGAAGATTAATTGTGTCTGTGTGTTTTTTTCCCTCCTGACATAAGGGCTCCGGTGGACAGCAAGTCTAGCTCGGGCCTGTGCACACCGTCACGCACGACACAATGAAGGTCTAGACCGCGACGGAACGAGTGGAACCCAGGGCGCGCGAAGAGCCTGTGCTCGGGGATCCCCTCTGCCTGCCCACACACTAGGCAATAGGGGCCGATGACATCGCTATCTCTGAAGCTGCACTTGACGCAGGCAACCACCCGCATGAACACCTCGGAAGAAGATGGCAACCTCAAGGTTGTCGCTTTTGCAGGTGATCTGATGCTCCTGACGAATCACCGTGATCGGCGGCAGCTTTGCGCAGCCAACAGGGGGAAGTGACGGACATGCGGCGCAACCGGCGATGCGCGAGTTGCTCGGTGGGAGACAGGACGGAGCGGCGCTCGAAGTTGGAGAGGTCAGGCAGGACCCCGTCCCCGATGTCCCACTTGTCAAGCTTCACCCCTTCCCGCCCGAGACGCCGATGGGTGGCTGGGGCCGCTGGCCACTTGACTGGCTCGACGCTGGCCTTGTAGGGCTTCCAGCGCGCGACCAGCATGGGGCGGGAAAGCCAGCGATGGAGGATGGCCTGATGCCGCGCGTGGGGCGCAGCTTGTGGCCCTGATTGAGGAAGAACTGGATGGCCCCGCTGCGGCCCCGAGCGGGCCCGAAAGCGGCGTTGCCGATGATGGCTCTGAGCGATGCCCGCTGAGCGGGGGCCATGCCCGTGACCCTTGCGCCGTAGAGAGCCGCATGGGCCCGGCCAGTCTCGAGGATCCCGCCCGCGCCAAGGAAAGAGGATCTGGGGCCCCTGACGCAGGAGACCCTTGGGAACACGGACTGCCACCCGCGCGGTTGGACCTTGGCAGGGCGCCCGCGGGCCCCTGCGACGCCCGCGCCTATGTTCTCCGTGGCCCCCGAGCTCATGAAGTCCCAAGCTCTGCGGCCCACGCGGATGACCTGGGCCACGCGGGCCGACGAGCCCGCGGCGATCCCCTTGGCAGCCGAGATGGTGAACCCCAGGGGCTCCAACAGGACGCGCGTGGACCTCGTGGCTCCTAAAACCATGCTGGCGACGTGCTTCCTCTTAGCTCACGGCTCCACTTGCAATGTCGTCAACGACATTGCACATGGAGATGCTGGGGCAGAGGCGCAACGCATCAACCGAGGCGCCAAGCAGGAACCGCGACAGAAGTGGCATGGCGAAGGGGCAGCCAGGGAGGGCTTCTTGGTCGACGAACATACCCGCAGACGCGGTCATGTTAAACTGCAACGGGCGCCTGCCATCATACAATCGGAGCAATAATCTGCGTCGGCGCGCTCGAAGCCCGTGCTTCGCGCAAGTTCTGGCGGGCGAATAGGGGGGCACCTTCTCGTGACACTAGGTCATATCAGCGAGATCGCGCGCAGACTGGCGTACATAGATGTGAGCATGTTCGAAACGGGCCGACTGTTGCCGCGCGCCCCGTTCACGCGGCCTTCCCTGCTGCCGGGGATATACGAGCGGAGATGTTCCTGTTCCCGCCACTTGGCTTCATCCCTCGAGTGCAGACCGAAAATCCGAATGCCCCCAGGAAGGGCCCCGACGAGGCGGCCACCCCCGTCGCCGCGCGGGACCATGGCGAGCAGGATGTGCAAGATGGAGAGAGATGTCACCTAGGAGCTCCACGCGGCACCAAAGGCTGGCCAAGCGCTGCACGCCGTCGTCAGACAGCAATTGACAATCTGGAGGCCGAGCACGATCAGCGCCCACGGCGGCGCGGGCCGCGAAGGCCCCCGCGACTGCGCGGACGTCGGCAGGAGAGGCCTGCAGGCGGGGAGCTTCGCCCGACGCATGGATTCCCTGACTGAGGTGCTAGAAGGGGTCGGCGAGGTTGGAGATTCGCGGGGCAGGGGTCCACACTTTCCCCACTCCTCCTCCAGGTTACTCATCTGCTGCTCCTGACTAGAAGGGGGGCCGCCCCAGGGGTTCTCGGGGATGAGCCCGTAAGGCTTCCTGGCAAATCGGCGGGCAAGGCCCCCCCCTCCTCGCTCGAGTGACTTGGCAGCACCAGTCCGCCGCTGCTTGGCCCTCGCGGCGCGGGCCCCGCGCTCGAAAAGTTCGGCCCGGCGCATCGCGTCGGCCGGGAACTGGGGCGCGGGTGGACATTGGCGCGGATGGAAATTAGCGCGGCCGTTCAGCCTCGTGGCGCGCGAATGGACATTAGCGCGCAAATGCCTCCGCTCTGGTTTCTCGAAGAGCTTTTTCTCGGACCCGGGGCCGCCTCGGGGCCGGGCGAGAGGATGTCGGGGCGGCCCCTGGAGCGGCCCTTGCGATGAAGAGCGCGAGCTCTAGAAACCAAGCCGCCCGCAGGCCCCTTGACAAGGGGCTGGGCAGTCGCCCCCAGAGGTTCTGAGAGCAGGCGCCGAACGGGGCTCGAGGCGCGAAGCTGTCCCATAATATGCACGGCCCTGGGCGTCGATGCGGCGGGCCCCCTGAGTTCGACCTCGAAAAGCTTGCAGCAACATTCCCCATCGGCCAAGTCCTGGTCGCTCCTGGCCGCGCCAGGCCAGCGCAGGATGTCACTGCAGGGTGCCCAAGACGGCGGAGGAGAAAGGCCCCTCGGGGTGCTCTTTTTTTTTTTTTTTGTTGGGGGGGGGGGGGGGGCTTGGGACCTTGCAGGGCCATGGTCACGCCTGCGTGGGGTTCCCCTATAGCTCCAGCGACGCTGCAAAATGGGGAAGCGCAATGCTGGCCTTGTAGCGGTACAACACCCCATGGAAATCTCAATGCCGGAGAGACGAAGCAATCGATGGTGGCCCACTGCTCTCCGACATCACGCGCATCGGGCGATGCGAATGCAGGATGGCGGTGCCGATGCGGTCGACCCAACCTGCGCTGAGAGGAGAGGTTGGGCGAGCGTTCCAATATCCGGCAATGATGAGCGGGACCTAGAGCTGGCGCAGAACCTCGCCGACCCTATTCCAAACATGTGAATGGAGTCCAGGCCCAGCGGATTGTCGCAATCAAGGTAAATGGAAAATGCCGCGGTGTCTCCTGGAGCAAACGCGCTGACCGAAGCCGATCAGACACGTTCTGGTTGAAAGGGGGCCACGAGCGAGGGGGAGAGCACCGAATGGGATGCGAGGTCGAACTGCGATGCCTGTGCCACAACTCCAGCCTCCACGAGATGTAGCGGCACTAGGTTTGACGATCGACTTCCATCCACCATTCATGATTTGGCTGGCCCCCTCATGCGACGGCTCCCCAAAGCAGAAAATGGGAAGCCAGAGATGGGCCCTGGGGCCCCGTCCTGGAGGTTGGTTTTGAGCGACCCCCAAGACGACGAGTTAGCTGCGTCGATGACCGCGCGCTTCAACTGGGCCCCTGGGCGTACAGCGGCCCCCTCTTGGTCGCTGCACTCACCGGCCATGAGACCGCTGAGACACCTCTGGGACGAAGCCCGCGGTGGGCCAGCGTCCTTGCGGCGCAAGAGCCGCCGCGCGGGATCCCCTTGAGCCGGAATCGGCGCGAGAATGGCTGGCAGAGAGCGCCGCGATTTCGGGGCATGGCTTGCTCCCCGATGCCACATCCGCGTTCTGGTCCACCCTAGGTTTGGGGACTTCCGTGGTTGCCCCATGCTGGTCACTAGGCGCGGCTTCTGCGTCGTCGACCAGATCTCGCCACCTTGCCTTGCTCGACTCCGTCGTGAAGATCGGCGCGTCAGTAACTTCGAGCGCATGGCGCTCCTCATCCCGTCATCATGTCCAGCCGCCGCCGGCGGGGGCGGCGCGCCTCGCTGCGCCGCCAGCAGCCCCTTCGTCCTCGGGGGGCTGGACAGGTACTTCAACAACGAAATCATCGTACTGTGATTCTGGCACCAGCGCGCCTACTGCTGCTGTCTCGCCAGGCCCCCATGCTCCTCGGGATGCTGGGGGCAATTCTGAACGGCCAGTTTGTCTCCAATTGAGAACGCGAGGCTTCAGTGGCCGATGTAGACCCCGCCGCTGAAGCACTCGCGAACGCCGTGCTAAACCGAGATCTGCGGAGCACCTGCCTCGGCAGCGGCCTTGGCCGTCTGAACAGCACGAGCGAACAACCGCCGGTGGCCCTCGGCGTCCGACGGGGCGTCAGCAGGCCTTCGCCAAGCCGTCGGCCTCCGCCGCTGCTGCAGCGGGGGGGGCCTGAGGCATGGGTGAGGGAGCAAGCGGTTCCACTCGCCCAGCAGGGTCGCTGCCAGGCAACGCGCCTAGGGCCCCGCTGCCAGCTCCCACAGGCGAGGCAGAGTCGGCGACGCCGCTGGCCTAGCCGACCATGCGCTTCTTGGCTTGCGCACGCAGGCGGCCCCTTCGTACAAGCCTTGACGGCGCCGAACGACTCGACGACGGCGCGCTTGATCGTCTGCTCCACCTCGGCCTTGCGGCGAGCCACCTCGTCTCGCTCGCCATCCGAAAGCTCGACGCCCTCCGCCCACGGGCCGAAGAGGTCGTCGTCAGCAAAGATCTCGATTTGAGACTCCGCATCCAAAAGGCGCCCCAAGCTGAGCCCATGCCGAAAAATAACCGCTGCGCCGTCATTCACATCACCAGTCTTCACGGCAGGCGGGACATTCTCGGCCAACGAGCGCACCGCCTTGTGGTAGTTCGCCTGGCACCCCTCGAACTCCGCCAAGGATATGATAGCGGCCTGCTCTGCTTGCAGGGTATGCTCCTTAAGCTGTTCAGCGATCCTAACCTTCCTGTCCGGCGCCTTCGTCGCCTCCCGCATCGCACGCTGCGCCGTGCCGACCAACTGGGGCTTGGGTCCGGACGCTTGCTGCAGCTGGCGCAAGAGTGGCGTAGTGGTCGGCCTGGCGGTTATCGCCAAGCTTGACGAAGGTCTACTGCAATTCACGGAAGGCGGGGATGTCATCAGCAAAGTACATGATCTGGAATACTGCCCCGGGCTGCCGCGGAGGTGCCCCTTGGTGCTGGGGGGGGCGCCCCTTGGATGCTGGGGTTGAGGTGGCCTGCTGGCTTGGGCCTTTGCTGCGATGAAACCAGACTGAAGCCTGCGCCCTATCTCGCTTGCATGGCAGTCCATGGCACAACCACCCTTGGCTGCAGCTGAGCCAACACAGCCCTTGCCGCTGCCGCTTCGGAAATGGTCGTCGCCGACAGCTGGGAGCGATCCGTGAGGCGGCATGTTCGCCCAGGCCCCGCGCGCGACCTGAGTAATGCGCGGCTCCACGAAAGATAAGGGCTTGAGGCAGTGTTTGCAAAACCAGAAGCGGGATAAGCTCTTCTCGCAACCGCAATAAGGGGCATGGTACCTTGCTGGTGCCAGCTCCGTCGTCACCACCACGCTGCCACTGACGAGGATCACCAGTAGGCTTGCGCACCCCAGGATCACGAGTGAATCCTTCCGCCATGGGCAGGAAGCCAGGACGGCGCCTGGCGGGATCGTGGCGACTATGCTCCTGCAGGAGCTCACTGCATGAAAGATTGAGAAAAAACTGGATACCCTCGGCTGACCAGCAACACGAGAGGGGCACTGGTGGAGGCCGTCCTTCCCCCTTGCCGAAAGATCAGGTCCTGTGCCAAAGCACCTGAGCCAAAATGGCTACGGAGACTTATTTCCTCCTCCTCCTCCCCCTCCTCCTCCCCCTCCGCCGCCAATCTGACACTGCCAGCCTTCGTCATCGCGGCTCTCCACGTCCACCTTCGCCACCACGGCTACACCACCGAGTGCCATGGGCCCCTGGACCTCTTTCCCCAGGACCGACTTCACTTGCAGCCCAGCGCTGACTTCTGACGCCCTGAGGCCCTGGGAAGGCACCAGGATGAAGGCGCCCAGGCACACACATAAATAGACACAAACTCCAGAATGCCCCCTATGTCTGTCCATATCTTCTGGAGATTCGTTGTCCTCGCCCCCACTTCCCATACTTTCCACGTTTTCATCGGGATCGACGATTATTAGTGTCTTTGTGTTGTCCTCCTGACCAGGGCCCGAAAACGGCGCAAGGTATGAGACCCGTTACCCTCTAGGCCCGCTTTCTTTACGGCGACCTCTCCTCTGCCTCACCCACGTGAGGGGCAACGTTAGGGTAGACTGGCTCTGGCTGGGGGGGGTGGGATGTCGGCCTTGAATGGTCCATACATCGCCGATAGACCGGCGATCGGGCCCGGGGTAGCGAGTCCACACGCTCGAGACGGACACCGTCGGCAAACTATGAGGAAGGGCCGATGCGTCCCCCCCTGAGCAGACTCCCCCCAACGTGGCACCCCCTTCCCTAAGAGCCGACGTCGCGAAAAACCTGCGACACGGTGATACGAAACGCAAATCCAGCCCTAGACCCTACTATCTGCCGCGTGCGACGAGTCAGATCGATCTGCGAGGGCCCCAGGGCCCGGATCCAGGCAAAGCCGCCCCGTGTGGAAAAAGAGGCGCCGACGGGATCTCAGGGATCCCCAACGTCCCCCCAACGATGCCCAGCCGTGCGCGCCTACGCGCGCCTACGCGCGCCTGCGGGCGCCTGCGGGCGCCTGCTGCGCGGAACGTGCGCGCCCGCGCGCGCCAACCCGCGCCAACCTGCACCCGCGCGAATCCGCCCGCGCGCAATCGAGCGCCCAGGCGCCCGCGGCGAGCGCGGGCGCCCACAACGTTGCCCAAGGACCCTCGGCCCCCCCCCCTCCCAGGATCGCGGAGCAGATGTTCCCTGCCATGTCCACGGGAAGCAGCGCCAGCCCCGCCTCGGAGCCACGACCGCCCCGCCCGCGACCGCCTGTCGTCGCCGTCGTCGCCGCCTCCGCCGCCTCCGTCGCCGTGTGTAGTAGTCATCGTCGCCGTCGTCGTCGTCGGCGGCGGCGTCGTCATCGTGATCGTGATCGTGATCGTGATCGTCATCGTCATCGTCGTCGTTGTCGTCGTGCTGGTCGTCGTCGTGCTCGTAGTCGTCGTCTTCGTCGTCTTCGTCGTCGTCAGCGTCGTCGTCGTCGTCATCGTCGTCGTCGTGATCGTCGTCAGCTTCGTCGTCGTCGTCCTCCTCCTCGCCGTCCTCGTCGTCGTCGTGTCAGGAAGCTCGCTCGCTCCTCCCCTCGCCTGCCCCGTCCACTCGGTCGCCGAGCGAACAGCCCATCGAGCCGAACCGCACGGACACGAGAAGGCACAACGTCGCGCATTGCACTGCCAAGGCCTCCGGCGCCTTGAACACCTTCGGCCTCTTGGAGGCAGCCCTCGAGCCCTCGGGGAGTCTAGAAGCAATCCGCGGCAAAAAGCTGACCCCGGGAAGGGGGCGAAGGCGGTCCAGAGCCTGCAAATGGAACCATGTCGGGGGTCGGAGATACGGGCGCGCGCAACTCAATCTCCTCCGCGCCCTCGCGCTGCACCTCCAGAGAGGAGCAGCGCTCCCGGGCTGCGAGACCCCGCAGCGCCGACAGCAAACCCGCCCCAGACCCAAGGTCGGGCTGAGCGCCGCTGCTGCGCGGCAGCCAGAAGCCGCGCGGAGCACCGAGCGTGCCGCCGAGCAGCGACAGCTCCGGCGAGAGCGAGGGCTCAACGAGCAGTAGTCGCTGGTCTTGCGCACGCGCACGGCACGCGCGCGCATCAGTCAGTGATAGTGCGCCCCCGCGCGTGTCACCCAGGGATCTTCAAGGTCCACGGGGAAGGGGGGAACCCGTGTCATAGGCTGGGCTGGCTCAAAACTTTCACAGCGCTTGGCCGACGTCGCCGACGCCACTGCCACCGGCGTCACCGTCGGCGACCACACCGCCGCCGCCAGCGGCGTCGTTGTTGCCGCCGTCGCCGCCATCGTCTTCGTCGACGTCGTCGTCGCCAGCGGCGGCGGCGTCGTCGTCGTCGTCGTCGTCTTCGTCGTCGTCGTCGTCGTCGTCGTCGTCGTCGTCGTCGTCGTCGTCGTCGTCGTCGTCGTCATCGTCATCGTCATCGTCATCGTCATCGTCATCGCCGCCGTCGCCGCCGTCGTCGTCGCCGTCGTCATCGTCATCGTCATCGTTATCGTCGTCGTCGTCGTCGTCGTCGTCGTCGTCGTCGTCGTCGTCCTCGTCATCGTCACCACCGCCGCCAACGCCGCCGCCGCCGCTGTCGTCACAGTCGTCGTCGTCGTCGTCGCCGCCGCCGCCGCTGCCGCCATGGTCACCGTCGCCATGGTCACCGTCGGCGTCGTCGTGGGGAAGATGGCCCGTCACCCTCCGGCGGGGCGACTGGCCGGGGCCTCGCCGAGGGCGCGGCGGCGAGCGCGCACTGTAACCAGCCTGGCAGCCGGCACCCCTCGCATGCCGCCTGCGCTGCGGCCCCCTCTTCCTGGAGGTGGAGGGAGGGGCAGACCAGCAGCAGCATAGACGAAGTAGAACTATGCACACACACACACACACATACACACATACACACACATGCATACGCACACACACACACACACACACCGATTCTGGCAAGGCCCACTCTGGGCCCAAGGTCGGTGCACATTCCCTCCCTTGCCGTCGCTCGGACGTCCATTCCGCGTGCATTTGTTCGGTGTCGTGCGTGTTTGTTGTTTGCTCGATGATCCAGGATGCTCCTGGATGGCCCTCGCCGAGAAAGAATGCACACGTCGGAGCGATGCCAAGCTCTTGGCCTGGCTAGGGAGGTGTGTGCACAGATCCTGGGCCCAGGATAGGCCCCGTCAAGATCGGTGCATGTGCATATCCCGACAGCCGCAGGACGACGACGAACACGAGGATGAGGAGGGGGAAAAAAGGGAGAAGGACAAGCAGAAGCAGCAGGAGCAGGAGGACTCGGTACGACTCACTCTGTGGCATGATGCCATTAGGTTATCTGAAAACGATCAACTGGCGCAGAGAAGGTGCGTTGGCTACCAATATGCATTGCCCAACCGCCGAGAAAGCCTGTCGGAACGCCGTCGGAGGCGTGACCAGGAGCGACCCCACGTCTAGGGCCCGGGCGGGCTCGGAATCCGCCATCTCCGCCTCTGAGGCTTCCATCTCCGCCTCTGGGGCTTCAGGCGCGCGCACCCACGGAACCCCCTGTGGTGGGTTCACCGTCGCGGGCGTCATCGCTGTAACCTCCCATTCTCCTCCTCCACCTCCTCCTCCTCCTTCCTCCTCCTCCCCGTGTTCCTCCTCCTCCTCCTCCTCCTTTTCCTCCTCCTCCTCCTCCTCCTCTTCTTCCTCCTTCTCCTCCTCCTCCTCCTCCTCCTCCTCCTCTTCCTCCTCCTCCTCCTCCTCCTCTCCCTGTTGCTCCTCCTCCTCCTCCTGCTCTTCCTCCTCCTCCTCCTCGTCCGCCTTCTCCTCCTCCCCCTTAATGTCAGGTCATGGCGGAAATGCCGCGCCAGGGGTCCGATGTTGAATTCCAACCGCGCCCAGCCGAGGCGACGAGAGGGGGGCACGGGCAGAGGGGGCAGGCGGGTGCCCCGCAGAGGGTTAGAAGGGGGTCTTGGGGTCAAGGTCAAAAGTGAACGGGGGGACCGAACGCGTGACGTTCAATGCGCATATAATGTATGATTATCTGCATGTCTGTCTCGCACCAACGTGGCCACCGCAGCTGCTGCAGCAACACCCGCGTACACCAAAAAAGCCTGTGTACACCACAGTGCCTGTGCAAACCATAACAATTATGTCCACCACAAAGCCAGTGTACGCCAGAGTACCTGCGTGCACCACAGCGCCTCCGTGTACCACAGGGCCTGTGTACACCACAGAGCTTGCTTACACCACATCGCCTCTGATTCCTGAGGATGTTCTGTTCCGCGGCATGGTCCCCCCGTGTTGGGCTACCAGATGTCTGCGCACAGTGCACTACCAATGTGCACTTCCATGTCTGCGCGCACAACACGTGACCATCGTTGCTTCCACCGCATAGATCGTCCTGCGCGCCTTACACGTGCACATCCGCAATGTCATATACACGTTCCGGGGTCCACACTGGCAGACATGCGTGTCTTGGGATGCCGACACCCGCTGGCGTCGGAAACCACCGCGTCGGCGAGCCAAATGCGACGGGCGAGCTCCAGCCGTTGCTGGCATCCTGCCTCCGGCGACGAGCGAGCCTCAGCCGCCTGAGACATCAAAAAACGCAGAACGAATGGATCTCTCAGGATCCCTGAAGATTCCTGAGGATCTGTCAGGATTCCTGAGGATCTCTCAGGATTCCATCTGATTCGGAAAGATTCCTGGAGATATATGAGGACTCCTGCGGATCTCTCAGGACCTCAGGATTGCTCAAGATTCCCCCCAGTTCCTGCGGATCTCTGAGGGTCTCTCAAGTTTCCTGAAAATATTTCAGGAAACCACTGGATTCTGGAGGATGTCCCAGGATGCCTTCGGATTCCTCAGGATCCCTCAGGACTCCTCAGGAGTCCTCATGATTTCTCCAGATCCCTCAAGATTCCTGGAAATTTCTCAGGATTCCTCCGGATTTCGGAAGATCTCTCAAGATCCCTGAGGATCTCTCAGGATTTCGCTGGATTCCTGAGGATTCCTCAGGCTTTCTCAAGATATCTCTCAAGTTTCCTGCAGATTTTTGACGATCTGACAAGAATTCTCAAGATCTCTCAGGATTCGGGATCATCTCTCAAGATTCCGCCGGACTCCTCGGGATCTCTCAAGTATCCTCTGGATTACTGCGGGTCTCTCAGGATTCCTGAGGATCTCTCAAGATTCCTGCGGAAATCCTACAAACCTCTGAAGATCTCAGGCTGCCTCCAGGTTCCTGAGAATTCCGGAAGATCTCTTAGGTTTCGTCAAGATTCCGGAGGATCTCTCAGGAGTCCTGCGGATTCCTGAAGGTCTCCGAAGAAGACCGAAGAAGATCTCTGAAGACCTCACAATTGTGATGATTCCGTTCTAGCAAGCGGTTGCAGTTGGGACCAATGTGTTTGAAACTCGCTCCGAAAAGCTGGAATTGGGACTCGTTGGTTTGGATTCGTCCCGTTTCCGGGTGATCCCTCCCCTGGTTCGAACCCCCCCCTGCATTTCCGGGGGGGGGCACCCCTCAGCTCGAACTGCCCCCACCCTCCCTTCCGTTCCCAACGTCCACAGAACGCGCTCTGTCCTTTAGCGGCATCTTGTCTCTTGAATAGTCAATGCTGAATCGACTGACCTTCAAACCTCTGGAGACCTTGAACGTAGTTCGCTTTCTCGGACAACTTGCGAAGTGGTTCACTTTCTCCTCGAAGGTCTGTTCGGCGATTCCTGGACATCCCTTCGCTGCGATCTTCAACCCTCGATGTTCAAGCACGCTGCAGAAAAACAAGAAGACCAGGAAAAAAGACAGAAAGAGAGAGAGAGAGAGAGAGAGACAGAGAGAGAGAGAGAGAGAACGGCAATATGAAATATGGAGAATAAGTCGCGGTGATGCCCGCGCTAAACCATTACATATACTCATCGTACTGGTGTGTACGTACGCAATCGTGCATATGTTCGTGTGTGCGTATTTAAGCACATGTGTGCATATACATATATATATATATATATATACACATACACTAGAACCATCGCGCGCGCTTCGCGCGCGCTCAAGTTCTAGCTAGGCTTGATAGGCTAACTCATGTAATATCATTTTGGTCGCTTCTTGCGCCCAGGGACTCCCTTGGAGGCCCTGCGCAAGCCTCGGAATCGTATAGAAGGGGAAGTGCGGAAACGTCACAAATTTCCTTTTGGTATTCAACGATTTGGGGCCCTGAAAGGCTTCCTGGGTTCTTTTTTGGGAAGTGAGGGGGGTCTGAGACCGGGGGCCAAACTTGAAAAACAAAAAAATTGTGGGATTTCCATGTGTTTCCAATTCCTCGACGCTGTGCGGCGCTGTTTTTTGTTTGTGCCTCGCGGTTTTTGTTAGCCGGGCCCCTCAGGGGTGTGGGATCTTCTGGACCCCCCGGGGATTCTGGAGGCTTCCTGGGGGCCTAGAGAGCCGTCGGAAGGGTGTCTCGGGCTGCGCGGGAGCGTGTTGGGCCGTTCTTAACGGTCCCGGGGCTTCTTGGGGTCGTCTTGGGCTGTCCTTGGGCATCTTGGGGGCCCCCCCAGGAAGCCAGGAGGCGCGGTACCGGCCAGATGTCAGGGGATGTGTGGGATCTCCAAGTAGGAGTCCCATTTGGAAAAAAAAGATTTATGGGAATTCCCTCTTTTGTTCAAAATCCTCGATCTTCGAAGGTTGGAAGCGGGGAAACGTGAGAAGGCGAAAAACATTAGAAAAACCATTGGAAATCAACGATTGTACCCTCTTTGGGCTCTCTCGGGACGGCTCTCGCAGCTCTCTTGGGCTGTTCTTGGAGCCTCGTCGGGGTCTTTTTGGGGCCTCTCAGGGATCGGAGGTGTGTCGGGGGCCTCTGGGTGGTCCCAGAGGCCTCTCGGAGGTCTTTGGAAGCCTCCTGCTCCCGATCTTGGGCCCATCTTGGGCCCGTTCTGAGGTGGTCTGGGGCTGTCCTGGGCGCCTCTTCGGCAGTCTTGGAGCCTTCTTGGCCCGTCTTGGGGCCGTCCTGAGGTTCTCTTGGGTGGTCTTGGGGCGGTCTTGGGAGCCTCTTCGGTTGGACCATTGGAAGCTCGAAAACGCGAGAAAACAAACATTGAAACAAACAAATGAAAATCTACGATTTGGGCCTCTTCGGGCCGTCCCGGGACACCGCCACCTGGGAGCCTCGAGAGCCGTCGGAAGGCTGACTTGGGCTGCTTGGGAACGTCTTCGACCATCCTTTCGCATTCTGGGGGCTCCTGGGAGGCGTCTTTGGCCCTCCTGGGGCGCTGTGGAGGCTCCCCGGAAAGGTCGGGGGAGCGGTACCAGGAGCGTCCCCGAGATGTGGCGTGGAGGTGTGGAACCCGGGGCCGGGGGGGCGGTGTATATATATATATATATATGTACAAGACTGCAGTGGCGCTTCGCGCCATGCACCTTGGTCCTTGAAGTGTGGTATGCAGGCGGAATAGCAGGAAGGTCAAGCCGACAATTTAGCTATAACTCCTTGTTGCTTTTTCAGGCATCGCCGCTATAATAACGTGATTCGTTATCCTTCCTCCATGCTTCTTTTTCATCATTTTCGCCATACCCTGTGCATTCTCCCCATCCTCCTCAGCTCTTTATTGCGGAGGCTCCTCCTTGGAGAGTCTCTGGGGGCCTCACAAAAATAGTTTCAAGGTTTCTTAATGCTTTCAGGAGGCCTCCTGGGTGTATTCTGGGGGCCTCTGGCGGCTTCCTCGGGCCACCCTGCCTCCAACCGCGGTCTCCCTGAACGACCGGGTCACGATTTGGAATGCTTCGGGTGTCTTGGGGCCATCTTGGGCCGCCATGGGGCTCTCTGAGGGCCATCTTGGACCCGTGTTGTGCCGTTTTGGGGCTCTCTTGGACTGCCGAGAAGCCCTTTCAGATGTTTGTGGGGCGATTTGGGAGCCTCCCAGGCGGCTTCGGACGCCCAGAAGACCGCCGTCTTGGAGCGCCGGGAAGCCGAAAAGAGGAGAACCCCGAAATTCACCAAAAACCAACAGAAAATGAATGATTTTTGCCTCTTGGGGCCTTCTTGGGAGTGCTCTTGGAGGCCTCTTTGGGGCCGTCCTGGAGGCCTCTTGGGCCATCTTGAGGTCACGTCGGTCACTCTTGGAGCGTTCTTGTGCTGTCTTGGGGGTCTCTGGGACGTCTCCGATGACCCCCCTGATCGCCCGGGTGTGCTGCGAAGGCTTGTCAAAACAGCCTGCGATGTCCGGGGGGCCGCTTCGAGGCCCGTCCGGAAGGTTCCAAAGCCCCCGATCCCGGGAGTCCGGTTTTGGGGGGGGGCCCGGGCTTATAAAAATATAGGAAGAGGAATATCTCTCTCTCTCTCTCTATGTCCAAGAGGGGGCGTGCGCATCATGGCCGAAGGCATGTGCGCAGACCAGTGGCGCGGGGGCCACGGGAAGTACAGTCGGACCTAGGCCAGAAGAACGTCCTTCAAGAACATGAGACCCTCCGTCGACCAAAACACACAGAACTTCCAGGAGTACCTACCCCAGGATGCACAAAACATCAA